TGCCTCAACTGGTGATGACAGAGTATTTCAACAGACTAGGAGGGAAATAACATCCATAGCAATGAGTGAGCCACGCAGCAGATTTACCCTTCCCCCTGCTACATAGCACACATTGCTTCTACTAACAAGACCCTAATTTTTAAATGTCATCTTATAGTAGGTCTCTTCTTTCAAGTGAGGATAACTTTTATGTAATATTTTAATTAAGTGTGGTTTATAGGTAAGCCAGTATATAATTTATATAATAAATATTATACACTGGTTATCGTTTATATACTTGGTTCCTCTGGTTGCTTGCAAGCACATGTAGCAGTGAATGGGAGAGCAACCTACTTTTTCTGTACCACAAAGCCCAACTTTATCTTCAGAGGTCCTGTCTGAAACCAGGGCAGTTTCTTATGGCCTATCTTGGAGGTCTTTTCATTTGGGGAGCTAACTATGAAATGACAGATTAGCCCATTCGTGCTTCAGACTCAAGAGTTAAGGGTGTTTTGAGATCTTACCTCTTTAAGTCAGCTGGTCAGGTGTGGAGCTGACCGAGGTTTTCCTCTGTTAAGGAGAGGATAGAAAAGCCAAGGCTTGTTAAGCCCTTAGTTTGGTCAGGAGGTAAAGGTGAATGATCCAGCACTCTGATACACTGAGTAGGCAGTTAAGCTCAGATATCCAGGCTTTGTCTGTGGGATTTGGAAGCCAGATTTCTGCTGTGTTGTAATGGAGCTTTGAAGTGCTGAAAATCAAAGATACCCGAGTGCAGTTTGAAAAGCAGTGGAAATTACTGACTGTGTTGTGACACTCGACACCAAGAAAGAAACTCCTGCATACTGTGGAGTTTCAGTGTGATGTACCTGTCAGAGAGGTGGGACAGCACTGTCAGGAATGTCTTGTGGTCGCCTGGCATTGCGTGAATTTCCAGACAGACGTGAGGAAGGAGATGCTCCCTTTTGCCTGCCCGTATGGTCCAGCCCTAGTCCACATCTGTCTGGAGTAAAGTCTGGCTAAGGTCTGGTTTCACCCTCAGTGTTCATGACAAAAGACTTTAATGTTGTAGTGATTGTTGTCTGCAGCAAGGTCTGGAGAGCTTCAAGGAAGTTATAATATCTTAAGCATTTACACTGTGCCTATGGGGAATAACTTTACTGTAATTTTCTGAAGATTCATTATCCAAAATCTTAATTCATTATAATAGCCGTTATGGAACATATAGAAACCCACATTTTCTTGTGTTTTCTTATTTGCACAGTGTGAGAGATTCATTGCTCTGTTTTAATTTGTTTCATGGGGTGCGTTGGAGTACATTCCATACAGTGCTGTTATTGAATTTCTGTGACTGTCATTATATAGCCATACAACCTTTAGGAACTCATATTCTGAGCTTCCCAGTTCTGTAATCTGCTTCACATTTAAGAATTGACATAATTAGCTTCTTCAGAGTTATAATGAGAGTACCAAAAAGAGAAGACCTCAAAAGATAAAGCAAAGTTAGGCATATCTAGGGCCGAAGAGTAGAGAAGACAGGGAAACAGTGTTTTGGTGTGATTGCCGAATTGTTTCTCCATTTTCTCGGACTGTATGTACATACAAGTGCTTTGCTTTATGAAACATTACTTCCACAATTTTATTTTCTCATCCTTTTGAAATACAGCAGGTACAGTTCAAGTAATTGGGAAGTATACAATTATGTAGTTTGAACCACTGATAAATCTGCTATAGATCATAAAAACACTGCCTGGCAGGAGAGCTTGTGAAGCTGCTGTCTTCCTCCAGCGTCCTGATTCCACCCAGGCAGTTTTGCTGGTCTCTTCACTGTCATGGCCAGGTTGTCAAGGCCAGGTTGGATGGGGCATGGGGCAACCTGCTCTAGTGGAAGGTGTCCCTGTCCATTGCAGGGGGTTGGGACTGGATGAGCTTTAAGGTCCCTTCCAACCCAAACCAGGCTGGGATTCTGTGACCATTGCTGTCACCTTTGAATGCAGCATTGCACTTGGGTGTTGGTTGTGATGGTGGGATCAGCTCCGGCTTGCTGTAAGGACCTCGAGTATGTGCTTGTACCTGTGAAGCTCATCCAGTATTGTAGTCTGTTGTTATCACTTCTGTGGATTTTTCACTTACGCTTCTGACTGTTGTAAGAATGAGATACTGATGGTGGGATATTTTACTGTTAAACTTGCATTTCTGGCCATGTCATGGCGTGATTGCATAGTGCTGTGTGTTGATGCAGGTTTTGTGCGGCAGATGTAAATCCTGCAGTTGTAAGGATTTGGGAATGGTTGTGTAAAGGTTTTCCACAAGTCTTCAACGGGCTGTTCCCTACTGAAAGCTAATTATGCTGCTCCTATTTGAAATGTCTAAAGGGAAGTGAAAATGAAAGCCAGACTTTTTTCTTGCTGGAAGAAGACAGGGGAGGTCTCCAAGGAGGGGACAACCCAGTGGATGTGGGGTTCTGCAGCCTCCCAGAGCTGCCTTCACCTTCACGGCTTTACCCATGGTGATGGGAACTAAGCTGAAGGTGAGATCATTCCATGTGTGAGTCCGCATCCTCTTATGCCCCCTTCCAGCAGTGTTTTTCTCTGCCTTTTGAATATGTAGCACAGTCTTTGCTGTTGAAGTGTGTTTTATTATTATACATCCAAAATGCTTTATCATTAATTTTTTATAGTGCTTAAAAGTCTAAGGGCGCTTCACTGTTGTGATTAGGGGTTGGTTGGTCTTCTATATTTACATGCTAAGAGCGTGCGTTGGTTTTGAAAATGATTTTGAAGAAGGTGTTTAAAATATCACATTTATTTTCGCTTACAATTTGTCACATTAGGGAATGGGTAGTAGTTTTTATTACAAGCACTGTATTCATGCTGACTTGAAATGACCCTGTCACACGTGAAAACAAATCAGATTGTTGCTGTTAATGAGCTTTTCAATTTACTATTCAGTGGATCAGATAAGTGGATTTAAGAGGTAATGATCCTGTTTAGCACTCAAGCTTGGCTGTCAGATCCTAGTAGTTGTGGGAAATCCCCAGGGACAAAAGCGTTGACACAGTTCTTGATGGGATAATGGGAATCAAAGCTAATGGATGATAAAAGGAGTAGTAAGAGTTACAAGGATAATTGTGGATTAAAGCACTACTCTTTGTCAACACTGACTGCTGGTTTAGTATTTTATTTGTCAAACTCTGATGTGGGGAGAGCCTAGTTTGACAACAGAGCACAATGCCACCAGGATCAGGCTGGCTCGCTGGTTTCCCTGGCAGAAAGGAAAGCTCTTAACAGGGATGTGAGCTTGCTTCTACGGTTACATTGCTCCCTCTCTTTTTCACTCTTCCTAATATCAAATACGGAAATTCTTAAACTTTGCTAAAATTGCAGCTGCTATAGGTTTCAGAAGATGCTATTTTTGTATTTGAATATTCTTATTTAATTTATTAATTATATATGGAATATATACTTGAATGCATATTTGCATTACTGCAAATAACTTCACATTTACAGTGTCAACTGACTATTTCGCAATGTTTGGAGGATTGTATATGACAAACTTTTTAGTATCTTGATTATCCTTTCAGTGACTTGTTTGAATTGCAGCTAATTTTGCCACAATAAATACAATTATAAAAGGGTAAGTTAGCTCACAAGTCACCCTTACTCTTGGTGCAGTTTCTGGTTAGAGCTGCAAGTTTATTTACTCAGGCCTTATTATGCTCCGATTTAAAACTAAAGTCTCTGGGCTATGAAAATACAGTTTTATTCTGTATTATTATTGTTTATTATTATCATCATCATTATTATTATTGTTGTTATTTATTGACTTCCTCAGAGACAGAATATTGCTGGGTTTGGTTTTTAAGCACAATCATGGGATTCCATCGCTAGCAGGAAGGAAGTTGGCCTAAGAAAGGTTAGGTACAGTAACAGAAGTATTGCGTGAGCTAAATCAAGTTCATTGCTATTTGTGTGCCATATGAAACGTCAGCGAGCAGAATTGACAGCTAGATGGCACCAGGCTTTCACCGCTGGGTAGCTGAGCCTGCATGTGCTCTGCTTGGTGCTCTCATTCCAGACCTTCGTGATACCTGGCTTGATCACATCATATGGAAGAATTACCTATAAGCGTAATATTTGGGTTAGTGTCACGAAAGGTTAAAATGACTGAAATGAAATGTACTGACTGGCTGATCTGCATTTAGCCTGCTCGTAAGCAAATAGCAGTGTTACGTGAGATCAGGGTGAAGTGAGTTGGCAGAGGATTGCAATGAAAAGTTGCAAAACATGTCTCCCTTCTGTTTCTGAAGTCGATTGAACCCAAGTGAATGTTTTCACCCAGGCTAAATGCCAGGCTACTAAAACTACCAGAAACATTTAATAAGATCACACAGTAAGGAAAAAACTATACTTGGTGTGCCTTGCATTTGTTATGGAATCTGATAGGTGAGGTGGTGGGTGAACTTGGGTGGTAGTATATGTCTGGGATCTGAAATAAAGGGGAGACGTGTACAAGTGCAGGTCACTTGGCTGTCAAAACCTTTGTTCTCCCTTCACGATAACGAAACTGGATGTCCAAAGAGTACCTAATTTACAAGATTTTGTGACTGGCAGTTCAAGAACTTACACGTGCAAGCTAAAGAACAGCGCTGAATCGCACCCCACTGAGGACAGAGACCAACAGAAGAATGTTTTCTCCATCCCTGTGCATTTATTGTTTTTGGTAATAGAGAGTGTGTTGTTCTGTGAACAACAAAGTGGGTTTAATGCAGGAAATTTGCATTTCCTTTGTGGGAAGAAATGTATGCAAGGTCAGGTAAAAGCCTGTCAATCCCAAATTCACAGAACACCATTGAAGACTGAATAATCCATCTCTTCCAAATGCTTCAGCTAGGCTGGATGGACAGGCATATGTGCCTGTTCTTTTCTCTTGCAAAAACAATATGGGGAATGTTTTAGAATAACTGAAAATGCTGCTACGTGTAAATGTCTATAATATGCTACTGTTGAAATGTTTATTTCCAGGTGTATGCCCGAATGTCAGAAGTCTTAGGAATCACAGACGACAACCATGTTCTGGAAACATTTATGGCAAAAGTGTGAGTTTGTGCTTGGGTTCTCTTCTGTATGTATTTTGTCTTGTCTTTAACACATAAAATCCTGAGTTTTATTTTGTTACATTTGCTCTTTGCTAGAAAAATGGTTTCCATTAAATTTAAAATATTTAAAGTAAGGGATAACCATTTTCGGAAGCAGCCATATCTTATTTTCTGAAGGTACTGCATGTCCCAAAATAAACACTCGCAGCTGGATATATCCTCCACAGTGCCTGCATCCCTTCTTGAATGGCTTATAGGAGAATAGAGCTAAGATTTCAGACTCTGGTTCAGTGGCAGCCTGGCCTAAGCAGTCCTCATCCCTCCCCACCCCTCATTCCTACACCATCAGATGTCAGTGGAATTGCCTGTAAAGCTTCATGGTAATTTGCATGTTTGCATCAGGGAACTGACCAAGTTAAACTGATCTCTTTTTTGTTGTTTTGGGGAGGGAGGCTCTTTTGGGTTGCTTTTTGGCAAGATCTGGCAAAATGTACTCTCAAAAATACAGATTCAGGGAGGAGGATTTTAGAGCCTCATGCTTACCAGCTGTTTTCTCATCTGGGGTATTTAGCAGAGTAAGAGGTGTTTTAATCTGACAGATAAGTGTTGCAATACTTTCTCTTTAAGAATAATCTGAGAAAATTACTCTGGAGAAGGTACCTTTTTCTCATGCCTCTGCTGCAGCCACTCTCCTTGCATGCCAGCAAAACTACCAGGATCTTGTCTTTTATTACTTATGTCCTTCATGAGATTTGCTAGTTTCTCCTGACTCAAAAAGAGTTTCATCTAAAATCAGTTTTGCTCTTGAAGCAAAACAAAATGGGCCCTCTGAAAAATTGTGAATATCCACTAAAAAAATCTAGGAGTCCCCAGGAGACAATGAGTTCTGTGTGTGCCTGGAGAAAGAGAAGCAAGTACCTTACCTCTTTATTCTGCAGTGGGGAAGATGCTGCATCATGTCATTTACTTCACATCCTCTAAATCTGACTTACAAGACCTTTAAATACTTTCAGTAAGTAGACTTTGACCTGCTAGAGAAACATCTCTGCTGGTGTTGCAAGGTTAGTTGTGTCCTGTTTGGACAGGATTAAACATGACTTATCTTTTGCTACCATGACTACCAACCTTGAGAAATAGTAGCAATTAGGACAGGGTCATTTTCTAATACACTTAACTTTTCTGTGGAAAACCAGGCATAAATGCTTTGCTTCCTCGAAACCAGAAGCCGAGTGTTGTTACATCTTGCCTTAGGATAACAATAGTACCCGTCAAACCTTGATATTTATCTGGAGTATGCTTTGAAGACAGGTAAATGGAGGGTGATGAATGGAAAAATATTGATGGGTGCTTATTGTACAGTTTCTGGAAGCAGTCCATGTCATGTTATTAGACAGCTAAGCTTCATTTTATTGTTTCAAACTGCAATGAAACTTGGAACAACTGAGGAAAGAAGGGGGAAAGGGGACTCTTGTTTGGAGACCAGATGCATCAGTTTGCTTCTCTTTTTCTGCCTGTTTCTGCTACTGAGAGGAAATCTCTGTTGCCTTTGTTAATTGAGGAAATAACATAGCGTTTAACAAGTTGTGTAAGTGCTATATGTGTTTAGATTGGATAGGGATGTATTTGCACAAGTAGTGTAAGTTGAGTAAAAAAACAGGGTTTTAATGTTTCGTGGAAGATTTTAAAAGAAAACAAAGTACATAAAAAGCAAAACTCTACTGCTTTTTAGGTTACACACTCTACATTTTTGTTTTCTCTTTCCCCATAGCTTACTGTATTTTCCTAAAAGCATGAATTGTTCATTGATAGATCAGTTTAATTTTACAGAATGGGTGTTACAGCTTGAAATGGACAACTCGGTAGCTTTAAGAGTTAGCTGTGAAACTGCTCTATCAACACATTCATAATTGTGTGTCCGCTTTGCTAGCATGCCAGTTGGCAAATCTGAGTGTGAAACTGTAACATACTGATACATAATCCAAAAGCTACAGTCTGATGGGGCAATCCAGTCTGGCAGCATTTCTGTTACTGAGAATAAGCTGCACATTCGTAACAGCAGTGGGCAGGATATGTGACTGAGAGACCATTCCCCTTTTTCTCTTGTGGATGTAGTCAGCATTTTTAACCACACTGTTATTTTAGAAAGCCACCAGTTTAGTGTTTTGTCTTACCCCACAAATCCATTCCTTTCCTTAAGTAGCTGAAATGTGTTTTCAAAGGCACACACTATCCCTCTGTTTGCATGGAATTCTCTGTCCTTGGTGCTCCTGCTTCCTCACCAAACAGCCACATTACATGTTCTTACACCTCTTGGCCTACTGGGAGGGGACCAAGGCACAGACTCTTAAGGCAAGGAGTAAGGCATTGTACCCAAAACCAGTAGGAGTCTTCTCTCTCCTTCCACTGGTCATTTCCTTTGCGATAGCTGTCTATCTGTCTTGATCCTTCCACGTATAGGTAAGAGGCAAGGAGTAGACTGGAGCAGTTTTAGTTCCATCTGCTTCTTGAGCTTGTTCTGGGCATTTGGCTGAAAGTGTTTTCTGTTTATTTTGGCTACAGGCACCTTTTCTTCACTTACCCTTCGTGAGCCTCTTCTTGTTTCTTTCAATTATTGTCAGATTCCTGTGGAAGGGATTTATTGTGAGGGTGGACTTACAAAATATTTGCCCAAATATTTAATACTTTTGGCTGTGATAAAATAAATGAAACATGAATAAAAGGTGCACATTCAGACATTGCTGTTGGATGCTTTTTGCCCTCCTTCCCCCTTTTGTTTTACCACTGTTATGATTTCACTATGGTGGATGCACGTATACCTTCATTATAATAAGAGAGATTTTTCCATGTGATAGTGTTTAAGTAATACATAAGTATAAAAACTCTTGATGTTTTTTGAACATTCATACTGATATAACTCCATGGATCATAGCATAGTAAAACTTGGCACTTCTTTTCATGACAGAATGTGTATTTTTGTAGCTATTCACCTTTGTCCAGCTCTAATGAAAAATATAGATCCAATCACTGTCACTGAGCCACAGAGGGCTTTCACTGTAAATGATGATAATCTACAAGAAATAATTAAAACATGACTGTACAAAGCCAACAAATGGCTAAGTTCAGTATTACTGAAAGTTAAGTGCCACATAAGGAAGAGATTTTCTACCTCTTTGTAGGCGATTTGGATGCCCATTTTTCTCGCACGGTAGTGGGAATTGGCTAGCACACACCTTAAGCAACTTTGGAAGTTTTGTTGTAAGTGTATAATTTTTCTAGATTATTTTTATAATGCAAATCCATTTATAATATCCTTAGCTTGAGACCAAAGCTGTTCCTGAATGTGCATGGTTCCGGCTTTCCAATTCACGTTGTCCTTATACAAGCTTAAAAGGTTTTCACTCTCTGCTTCAATTATTTAAAAAACAAACCAAACCAAACTTGCTGATTTACAGCAGTCATTATCTCTTCTGGCTGGTAGCAACTTAGCTTTTGCAATTGCTTCTTTGTCATCTTACCGAGTCTCCTGTGTGTGAGGTACAGTAACCTATGCGTGTGCAGGAAGTATGATGTTCCTGGGGTTCCTCAGCTTGGTTGTGATAACAAACCTGCCCATTGCATTTCAGAGAAGGGATTCAAGATCTTCTTGAAAGAGAATGGGTGAATTCTCTGGGTGCTTACAAATGGCCTATAAGCAATGTTTGAGCACCTTGGCATGCAGTGATAAATGAAGGTACCCACCATCCCTGTGACCAAGTGGATTTTCTCTCTTTGTACAGTACATACTCACCCTTCAGCACTTCCTATTCTGTGCTGACTATGCTTTGCTTCTGCTTTCCTACCTTGCTTTCCTACCTTGCATCCCTGATTCTGTCTCCTCCTCTAAAATTTTCTTTTTTAAATTGCACTGCAAGTTTTAAAGTTCTCCTTTTTAAGCTGGGGGTTCCACTCCATGTACGGGAAGTACTCCAGTATATTCCAGGATACTCCAGAAGTACCATTTCCCATCCACTACTGCCGTAAGAACTGCTACATCTTGTATGAAGGCTGCACGAGACTTTGCTGTGCACCATGCAGAACTTTTCAGAGCAGTGTGGTACGCTCCATGTGTCTGAAGAGGCGTTCCCAAATCATAAACTGAGGACAGGACAGGAAATGGGGGCACCCACTGGGGAGGGCGGGGAGACGTGAAATAGGTTTAAGAGGCTGGAAGTGCCTGTCTATACCTTGGCCAGATAACATAATGACTTTGAATGTGCAAAGAATTTTGATTTTTCTGTGGATAATATAGTAAACCTTCTGCTAGAGAACTGTAAATTGGAATATCTAGTCATTATTTATCTTCCCTTTCTAGATTTAGGTTAAAACACACAGGCTCTTAAAATAATACATTTAAGCCACTGTATTAAGGGAAGAGGTGTTCAGTGTGCTGATTGAACTGCGTTGGTAAGCAGTCACGGTGACAAACTCATAGCAACCTGAAGGGTTCAGAAGATGCAAGGCTGGGAAGCTTCTCTGGTGCAGTTTTTAGAAGCTAGGGTTTTATTCTAGGCAAACTAAAGTATTTCCAAGTGTACTGGCTGCTTTATGTAATGCTCTTTTGTTTAACTTTTTCAGTCTCACAGCCTCTCAGTGTGGGTCAGCGTTACTGTTGCGCTTTCAGTATTGTGTCTGCAGTTCAGTATGTTCATACCGGTCACTGAAATTGGAAATATCCTGCCATTTTTTATTTCCACTTTTTTTTTTTGTACTTGCCTTTAAAATGTGTTCGGCATTCGTCTACCATCGATGTTTTTGGTGAATTTGGCATTTAGCTGTTGATGAAGCTCTTATTTTCCATAACTCATTTGAAACGTTATGGTAGGTTCCTTTGACTGTGTTGCGTTTGGTTCATAGTCTAAATCAATAAGCTGCTTGAGAGAGAAGGAAACAAGGGCACTAATACTTAAATCCAAGTGCTGTCTTGCCATGATTCCTCCAAGAGCTGTAAATTTTTCTCCTTTTTTCATCCCTTGGCTTCTCTTCCGCACATGTTTTTGTATTACGAGATTCCCCTCTAGATCGTCACAAATTTTCTAAGGTACTTATAAAGTTTTGTAGATATCTCTTAAAATATTACATTTTAGGTGTCTTTCATCTTGCCTGATATCGATAAGGCAGAAACAGAAATGGGAATTGCTCTGATTATAATAGAAATTTTTCAGCCTCTGTTCACTCTTGAGAACTTTCTGACTTTTATATTATTGCTCCATCTTTCAGCCAACCAGATGCAACCATGAAGTGAAAGAACAGATGTACACAAAAGTACTCTGAATGGTGGATGAAGAGTCTTATTTATACAGTTTTAATTCGCTCTTCAGACTGTCACTGTGACTTCTTGTTTTTCATTAAATGTCTTATATCTGGCTTCCTAAGGACAAAGATTCAGCTCTTTTGCAAAATAGCCCTGTTATGATTTTGATATTGATGTCAAATCTGGGTACTCCAAATTCATTTTTATTGCTTTGTATGGTATATACTTGTTAAGGATTTAGTGCAACTATAAACATCTCCAGAACTCCCCGTAGTAGGGATAAACTGTGAATTATGGACTTGCTAGAATGGGCTGTTTCTTTAAGGCAATCTGAACCTCTGTAGCTTTCATAGAGATTTTAGAAAGTAAATCAATGTTTGTTTGTAAATCTAAATTGAGGATTACTGCTTTGGTAATTGCATTGTTATTTGCCTTTTCCTGAGCAAATAATACTAAACAGATGATTTAAACTTAATCTCTTTTTCAGGAAGTTATAAACTCAGGAATGCTGTTTATGTGGTATAGTACATTCTTTAGGCTGTGGATACGTAAAAGCAATAATCGATGCTGATTTTAAGGCATTTAACATCGCTTCTTCAGGTTCTGTATTCCAAAATTGATATCCTACTGCATCATCGTATAAATAGCTGTTACCAGTGCTCTTACATCAGGGTCTTGCATTGATAGATCTGACAGTGTGAAGTCAAAATCATTATGGGTATTCTACACACAAGAAAACTGAGGCACGCAAATCTGTAATGGCTTATTGTTGATCACCTGGAAGTTTGAGATACACCCTAGCACTTTGTATCCCGACCAGGAATAGGTGCCTGGGCTTCCGAGCCAAGAAGTCCTGCTTCCTTTTTATGTGAATGGGCTATGTTTCAAAAGGCTGTGATGGCCTGGTTTTATTTGTCCACATGAATCCGGTATCAGAAACTCTGCTGTGAATCACTTACTTACACACCATTCTCTCCCTGTCTGGAAGAAGAGGGTGTTCAACTTTCCTCAGGGTTTTTGAGCAACTGAGGGAGATGGTGTATGTCCCAGAATGAGTAGGGCACAGTACTTGCCTTCAGGAAAGGGAACTAAGAGGATGCAACTTGCTATAGGCCAAGCAACCTAACTTGGATTCTTCAAGGAGTACTAGAAAAAGTTACTAGTGGTCGGTGTATTATTCATACATGCATTTGGGCTACTGGGGGGGGGGGCATTGGAGGGGGTACTTTCTATTTGGACTCATTGGCTGAGGTTTACAACAGAAAGAGAAAGTCTCAGATATTTGCCCTTCAGTAAGATTGTTGGCATTGGCCTACCTGACATTCCCCTAAGAAAGCTAGGAAATATCAGATGTGAGGTCAGTGACTCTTCACTTACTGTTGTAACTGCTCCTCGTTTGGAAAAGTTACATCCCTCCACTTTACTGGCTTCAATTTACCCCTTTCATCTGAAGGCTAATGCCACCTCTTCTCCTAATAAATCTAGTAGGTGAACACAACAGATTCCATCCCAGGTCGCTAGTGTCTGCACTGTCACACAATACAGAAGGGGTTGTAGAGGGTCCCAGCTCTGTGTTTCATGTCTCACGTCAAAATATGGATGGTAGCAGAGCAAGTGTTAGCTGCATGATTTCACTGAAAGGCTAACTCTAAGAGTTTGTTGTCAGAAATGGTAAGTTGTTTTATGCAGTGTTCCCCAAGGATTGATAATAGGTCTAGAGTTATCCTATATCATTATTTATGCATTGGTCCATTAATCAGAGTAGGCTTCCTATGTCTGAGAGGGTTGCAATTAGGGAGATGCAGTATCCCCTATGTATCTTGACTTTAGTTAAGTGTTTGGTATAGGGAAGAGGAGAAACAGGGATTAGTAGAAGAGCTGCAAGGCTGAGTTTCACTGGGAATTAGGTGTATCAGTAGTTCTGTGAACTGCCCCTTAGTTTTTCTGTGTCTCATTTCTCCTGTGGAAATTTTCCTAGGGAATTTATAGCAATTTGGTTTTACCTTGTGAAGAACTGCGCAGATAAATACTAGAGAAGTTAAGTGGCCAGATATTGTGTCAGCAAGTAAGATAGATACAAGTAGTGGTAAGCTCCAGATAATTTATTTCATTATGACAGATGATGGATTTTTAAAAAATGAATGTATTGTTACAATATTACAAAAATGTTTGAATCCCCTGTTCGGGAAAAAGGCAGAGCATGATTTTATAGCATTTTCTGTCTCATAAATGGGAAATCCTAAGATGTATCACAGAGATACGTTTGTAGTATAATGTGCTATTACTTTGAACTTTTGCACTGCACTTCTCAAAAAGGGGAAAATGTGTTGCAGAATCTCACTCTTTTGTTTTATTTATTCCAGTGTGACAAATCTTAAATACTGGGGAAGATGTGAGCCTGTGATTTCAAGAACTCTTCAGTTTCTAAATGACCTTTCTGTTGGATATCCTTTGCATTGTCTATGGCATATATTGTTTGACAATAATAAGGGAAATATCATTAGCAAGACTTTTGGTGTCTCATATGCCACATTTTTAAACCAGTCAGGATATTAATATTTACTCGTTTTGGTTTATCTTTTTCTATGCATAGTTTTTTAAAGGTGCTCTTATTTCCACCTACTTCTTAGCCACAAAAGAGAAATCATGTAACTAGTTGCTTTTGGTGATCTATACTATTCCTAATCTTCTAGAAGTCAATACCGTTGATGAGTTCAACAGTGTTGAGAACAGAAGCGTTGCTGTTGGCAGTTGAGAACAGGATTGCTTCTGCTTTCAGGATGAGTCAACTGGGATATGAAGCATGAGCTGAGATTTTAAGCACAAGCCTCTACACGTTTTGTCATTGCCTGATTCCAAGTTCCTTACTGTGTCAGTGCCATCATTATTACTCATAAAACAGCTTTGACTTTGCACATGGATTTTATCTGGATTCAGGTATTTTTGTGTAAGTCTTGGCCAAATCGTGATGCTAACTTGCTGTCTGTTGCAAACCTTTTGTATCTTATTCTTGCTTACCACAAGCTGGAGAATACTTGCTCTTTGAATTTTCAGTCAGTCGAGCAAGAAGATTGAAAGTAGTAGCTGGTTTTGATGTGACACGATTTTTAAAGGTACAGGGCAGATAATAAACCACCAGGGCTCAATAATACATTCAATCTTGAAATCCTTCTCTATTTTAAAATACAAACAACTTTTCAGTAATTTTGTAGAGGAGATTGTTAGAGAAGCAGAGGGGAAGGCACCTGGAATACCACAATTGGTATCATTTTGTTTCGCCATAGGACTCTAATCCTATCAGAAGGATTTTAATACATTTCCTTGGGTTGAAAGATGAGTGTGGGTTTTCACATTCCATAAGTGAGTTTTGTTTAATGAAAATCATACAATGTGTACTTCTATTTGTTTACTTGAAATGCCATTAAGCAGCTAACTTGATATTTTAAATACGCAAGTGTTCATGTTCTCATGGCATCACAGAAGGAGGACTGGAAAAGACTTGAAAGTGAAACATTACTAAGAAATTTGGCAAGAACAGAAGGGGAGGCATTTCTTGATGGTATTCATGGAGGAACTAATGAGATCTCTCTTCTTTTGTATTATATACTTATTGTTTCAGGAGGGTTCAAGACACTTTCAAAATAACCAAGAAATTTAATGTGGTGCACCTAACTTCAAGTGCTTACCTGTTTATGTATGTATGTATGCTTGCTGAAGCAATCAGCTAAAGCCAACAGGCATCTAGCATTTCAGATTGTTTTCTGGAGGCTTGCAAAGGCATGTGTTCCCATGGTAGCTCTCAAAAATGAGGGTCACTTTAAACTACTGGTGCAAATAATACTTTCCAAGGCTGAAATGTCTGGATAATTTTAGTTTTCAAATTACCCAAATTATATTTGCAGCAAATGAGTTTGTGCTCATGAAATAGATACAACATCAGGATCTAGATAAGGATGAAAAAGTAGCTATTTAATAACCTATGTTCCCCTGAAGAGTAGAAGTGTGATGAAATTGTGGGGTTGTTTTTCTTTGCAGAAACTTGCTAACTGTTGCAAGAGCAGTTTCAGACCCCCGTGCATAGTTAGGATGCAAAGCAGCACATAAATCTGAACATAAAGCAGCATAAACCTCAAACATCAGTGTGAAATGTTTAAAGACTAGCAAAAAAGAGATTAACTAAAACCATAAATACAAAAATTTGTTCAATGACTCTTTAATGGAAATGCTTCAAACAAGAATTCTGAGAACAGTTGCTTTTCTGCTTAGCTGGGTGGGGTGGTACAAAGACGGCTTTAATGCTGGTTCACTTCCCCGTGATGCTGTATTAGTTAAGTTTAAAATTGTGTTCCCTGGCAAACCATAAAAGATTTCAGAAGTATTAGACACCCACTTTTGTGCTGGAATTTAATATGCAACTTTTTATTGGAAAATAATCGTCCTTGTCTGGCAAAATCCACCATGCAATATTTCTGTTAGTAGGCATAATGCAATAAAGACAGGGAGGGCTATTTATCACTACAAATTTTGAGGATTTCAGGATTCTTTTTATTATTTTAATATATTTCTTTGGTATTAAATCAGAAAAATGATAAATTACACCTGTCGAGGCTGTTTTTCCTTTTTCCCAGAAAATGATGTACAACCCAATTTCACTGGTCATTTTGGCTTTTAAAGATATGTATTTTTTCCTATTAAAAACTCTACCAATAGGGTTTTTTTTAATAATAATACTGAAGTACTTTTTATTTCAAACATATGAAGTAGTTTATAACTACTTGCTGGCATTGCAAACTTTGGCCTTTTCACATTATATTAGGGTTTTTTTTAAAGGCATTAAGTATATATTGCTTTGAAAGAAAGAGTGTATTGTTAAGATGCTGGATCCAGTGGATCAATTTTCAGTATTTGATATAGATTAAATTGTGGCTAGCCTGAAAGGTTAAAATAATTATTTATTTAATTTCAGTACTTTCCTGGATGTCAGTCAGCTTCCACACAGTCTTTGAAATTGGTCTTCTTATGTGTATAATAGTCTTATTCTAAAGGATAATCAGGAATTACAAGCAGACCGTATTTTCAGCAACTTTACTGCATAACAGAACCAAAAACAAGAAGAAAAGCCATAGGACAGTATTAACAACAAAGGCAACAAATGATTGGAGCTGCTGTCATGGTTTACATTACTTTCACAATTATTCCAGGTTTGCATATTTCGAAATATATTAGCCCAATTTGATTTCAAAGCTCAGTTATTTGAATTATAAATCATTATGTCCCTCCTAGCTGATCAGTCCTGAAATATCTTTGAATTCATTTACATAATGGAATATGTTAGTCATTCCTTTATGTCTTTGAAGCCATAGTGCTCCCTCATGCATGTTTAGTTCCTCTGATAATTAACTTCTCCACTGTATATTTTTGTAGCAAAATAAGTACCATTTTGGTGTTATTTTGTGCAGTAACTTGGGGTAAAATATTTATAGTCTGTCAAAAATTCCTTTTCCACAGCTTTGTTAGCCTTATGTTATGAAGGGCTTTCCCTTGTAACAGGGAAAAAAAACCCAAACCAACCGTGTAGCTTTGCAATATAAAACCATGTAATGCGATGTCAAATGTTATAGATTGACAGAGGAACATCATCTTAAAACTAGATTAGGAGATTTTCCAATAACAGGTATGAACCCTATTCTTACACTTTTACCTGCTTAAAAAGAATTTAATCCATTTACAATGAAAAGGGAAATTGTTTATTCCCATAAAAGTAATTGAACTCTTCAATCAATTATGTGCAGGAATGGCAGAGTGCAGCAAGCACTCAAAACCAAGTAGTAACAATAATAAGTGTTACGGGTGTTTGTGCAGGAGTGTAGGCACTACTGTGCAGTCTAAAGTTCATAATAACTCATGATAATCATACTGTTTATTTCTTAAAGAACTTCATCAGTGTCATGGATCAGCAGTGTTTGAGAAATTAATGAGACCTGATGTACAAGCCTGTAAGTCATTTCTTTCATTTGATGCCTTCAGTACTTACGGATGTTTCTGTGGTTTGAATTTTCCTATGGCATTCCTGAAAAATGTGTCAGTATACTCGGATGGCAAAAAGCCTTTTATATCCCCATTGCAGAACTGAGATGGTGAAACTTTAACTGTCTTGTTGAAAGCCGTGCAGGAATTTTGTCAAATGAAGGGGAAGCAGGAGTTGAAAACTCCAGGCCAGTGCTCCGGCCGTTCTCTTGCTTCTGTTTTGCTAAATAACATCTGGTTTTCTCTGTACAAATCTCACACAGATATCGGCATGGATCTCTTTGGAATACACAGTGAATTTCCTGTTACTCCCACCCCAAATGCTTGCATTATCTGAGGCAGGGAAATGGTGTGTGCTCTTGCTATTAGAGATGTTCATAGTGCACACAGCTAGGAAAAGAGTCCAGTTGTGGAACAAGTCTTAACTGCTTGAACTTTACGGGCTTCTATAACATAGTTTTTGCAAACTCAACTTTTGATTTAGTACTGTTTCTCATGCTTTTAAAAGAAGTATTTTTAAGAAACATATTGCATTTCATCAGGTGTAACCACCTAGTAAATCAGGTAGAATATGTGATCTGCAGATACATGCAGTCCAGGAAACACATTGCTTCTGTGTCATTTAGTGTGTGTCTCCCTGGGAGCCATTCTGTACAAGCAGGTGTAAACAGACTTGAGCTTATCCCGTGGGACCAGGGCCAGGAGCTCCAGCCCAGGGGTCATGCATGCTAATGCAATGCATAGACCAGACCAGGAGACCTTCCCAAGGCAGAGCATGGAGCCGGGACCGATGCCACGCTTCTGGGCTGGCACAGCCTTAAACTCAGCCGGTTTGTGGAGTGGGACACTTCAGTTCATGCTTGGCAGTAGTCAGTTAGATTAGCTTTGTATTTTGTAACACTGGATTCCTGTAGATGTATTCCTAGATAGCTCCGAAGGTCCCAGCTGTACTACCTTGTGTTGGACCTTGCTCTGGCTATGAGATCTTGTATGTTCTTAAGAGGTTCCCATTCAGTTCTTGCACATCTGAAAATACTTTGGTTAAGTGTTCAACATCACTTAGTATGTGTGAGATGTATTTTCAGCTCTTATAACTGAAACAAATTAAATGTGATTTTGATGGGGCAGGAAGATCACCTCTGTAATTTTGGGGCCATTACTTCAGTGCTGCTTATGGCTGCAGCCAGTCCCATTGCCAAGGGCTAGTCATCTCCAATGCAGGCAAAACCACTGGGTTTTTTTACATGCTGAAGAGACAGGTCTATCTGGGGAAAAAACAGCACATTTATTACCAGAAACTCTCTGTTTAATTACAAAAGTCATTTAGTTCATTCGTCTCTTTTGTGACTAGAATCTATGCCATGAAAAGTAATTGCTTTAATTAATAATAGATTATGGTCTTCAATGTTCTAAAGAATATCTCTATGATGTATATTTCTGGATGAAATTCAGATATGGGTTTTTTTTAATGTATATTTATTATTGTTTCCGTAAGGATTTTTTTTCCTCACTAAAAATTCCTGGCAGTTTGTACAACCTGGTAACGTAATCATGATGCTGCAAAGCTGATTCTTCCTTAACACCTCCTACTTACAGTCTCCTGAAAAAGCTTGTGAAAATAGAGGCTGTGAAATTCATGCTTCAGAATCACACAGTAAGTTTTCATACTATGTTAAAAAGCGTTGGGTGTAGTAAATCTTGTAGCACACTTAACTTTTCATATGCTTACATTTCAACAGAGTAAGCACTTCCCTTTCTTGGGTATCAGTGATAATTCCAGCCTCAGTGACCTCAGGTGCCGGACAGTGTTCTACACTACTCTCACTCGTCTTCTCATGGTAGAGTTAGGTAAGATCCTTCTCCCATGTCCTGAGACACCTTCCTGTCTTGTGTGGTACCATGAATTTTTAAGGTTATTAAACCAATCAAACAGCAGCTGAATTGTACAGTAAATATGTTGGTGTTTGAAGCACTGCTGAGCAGCTTTTCAGATTTATGTCATTAAGCATGAACATCATATTTGTTGCCTTCTTTTGAAGAAATAAGATATTTTTTTGCACAGAAGTACTTTTTTTATTAACTACAAGGATTTACAGTACTAAGTGCCTGTTTCACATTTCCAGGGGGACGTAGCAATTATGCCAGAACTTTCTTGCTTCTAGTAGAGCGTTGTTTGGGGTTTTTTATTCATAAAATCCTAGAATGGGTTGGGTTGGAAGAGACCTTAAAGATCATCCAGTTCCAGTCCCCTTCCACAGGCCCAGGCACCTTCAATTAGAGCAGGTTGCTCCAAGCCCCATCCAGCTTGGCAAGTCTCTCTGCAAAGACTTAACTAGGCAACGTGTGCAGAGATGATCAACACAGTCACATAAGGCAGCAGTAGTTGTTCCTCCCCTTGCTGATAATGGGTGCTTGCAGTGTCTAGTGCTGAAAACACTTAACTTTGAGGCAAGACCAGGCCATGTTTTCAGTGTTTTCTTAAAGAATGGCAACTGTGAACTGGACCTGCATTTACCTGCAGTTTAACTGCACGGGCTCAGTGTTCTGTAATGTAAGCAATAGGTACATTTGCTAATATAAAATGGGTTACACATGCAGTTTCTGTAACTTTTTCTACAGGGTGGAAATAAAAAAAAAAAGGATTTGGTAAAAACAAGATTACAGGTTTTAAAAATTACACCCCAAAGCAGAGGTCATGTAAGTATATGTCAGCCAAAATGCAGGCGTGTGACTTATGACTGGCTGCAAGCTGACAGAGGTCACTGTGATTCCTCTGGATTAACAGCTCCAAGATCTGAAATGATGATGAGTATCTGGGGAAAGCTTACATCAGTCTTGTGGCTGTTGTCCTTTGGGTTCCTACTGGAATAAATTTGGTGTTGAACTCATAAGCACATCTAGAGACATAATGAGCTCTGAGTTGTGTCTTATGATCCAGATTTTAAAGTGAGGTGTATACAAACTGTCCTTCCTGTGTTTGTGTAAGCAATAAGCCAACCTTGGAAATCAAAAGACATTTTCAGACTGTGAAATCTGGCAATTTTAGATAAAAAAAGCATTGTACGAGGTATCTTCTCTGGGATTTTTTTGGATGGTTGAGGTTTTTTTCCGAATTAAGAGCTTTATACAAAATCCTTTTATGTGAATGATACACAACTTACATTGAAACAAAATCAAGGTGACTTTTTATTGGTAAAGGTTATTTTAAGTAATTTTTTGATGTAGAAATATTTTTGGAGATTAGTTGAATTCAGGGTATTTACATTTTAAACAGTGTGCTGTTGGGGGGACTGTCAAGATTAATTTGTAGTAGGAAAGAACAAAGATATGTTACTTGGTATTTGTGTCAGAATGCACTTTCTGTTGATTTACTTTAAGTTCTTGTGAATGTAATTAGACTTTAAATTCCTTATGTGGCTCAGGTTGTGCTTTTAATTTTTTGGCATTTAGAATTGCATCATTTTGTCCAACATTCTTAGTCCAAGATTTGTAAACTCAATATGCTTTTGTTGAAGTATGTAGTGACCAAAATTAATACAATAGCACCAGTAAACATATGTTTAAATAAAGGTTTTTCCTTGGATTAATAAATTTTAAGCACTTTTTCTTCTCAGTACCAGAAGAAGTAGGTCTAAGCTGTAGAAATACCTTCAGGACGTATTCAGCATGATTTGTCAGTGTCCTGTACTTACAGGTATGTGCAATCATGCTCAGTGCCAAATCTCTCCCAAGTGAAGCAGGTTTGAAATACTATTACTGTAAGCCTCGTGCAGATTTACTATGTATAACTTAGAAGTGAGGCATCTTTTTTCTTTCAAAGGACATAATAAGGATGTGTATGCATAGTTTCAATTGTAGAAAATGAGGAGTTTACCATGGTAGATTTTTTTTTTAGGGTAGCTTCTTCTTTTCCTCATTAATAATGTGCTGTTCATGGATGTGAACGCAGCTTGTACCGGAATGCAAAGGAAATGCATAGGTAGTAATTTGTGTTGCTTTTCTAAAACTTAAAAAATATTTTATTAATAGAGCAATACTATATCGAGTCTTAATTGTGTCTTTCTTCACTTTCTTCACCTACACAGAAATAGCACATCAGATTTTACTTTATCCATATCCAGAAGTAGCTGGTTTGTCGTTCAAGTGTTGGTCTCAATCAACATTGGGCCAGTCTGGTCCAGCTGCCATCTGGTAGTTCTTTGGGCTTCTCAACTTTTTAACAACACATGTTTGAGATTCTACCTTCAGGAATTCATGAATTTGAGGGTGTGTACATAGCATCTTTGTGGAGACAGTCGTCTGACAATATGCAGCACTCGAGATGAGATGAAGTAATACTTCATCTCGCTATCTTGTGGTAATTCAGGTTTTTCCTTCTCTGTCAATGACAACTGAGCCCTGCTGCTTCACAGAGCAGTATCCAGATGACTTCTGTTAGTCTGTATGCTGCCAAGGGGCAGTGCCAACATGGGACTCTTTCTGAATGATTGGTCTTTATTTATTAATTATTTTAGCATTGTTTTTTCCTCCGAGGAAGATCTGACAAGCAGTTGAAAGGAGAAAAGCATCAGGGTATGTGATGTCTGTAGAAATAGTTTAGCTTCTAGAAAGGTAAGAGGAGGCTGATGCTGGTTGAGCAAAGAGATTTGGAGCACAGAAAACTAATACCATATTGGAGCTGCCTGAGGAGCTGGAGCTGGTAAAAGAAGAGGGAAACAAAAAGCCGGATGAATAGTCTGGGGTTACTGTGAGTATTCAGAAGAGAAGACAAAGGTCCAGAAATGATAAATAAAAAGACTGACTCTGGTTGAAGGGAGCAGAGAGGAGGCGGCAGAGGAGACAGGCAAAGATGGACAGGGTTGGATTTTCCGAAGTCACCAGATCCTGTTGCTGCCAGCATTACCTTTGAAACCTAGCACAAACCGTCTCATCCTCTTCAGTCCTGCTGCAGGTGCAGGAGGCAGGTCACAAGTTTGGTCGGTTACTTTGCTAGGTTAAGAAAGTATTTGAGCATATGTTGCGGTTTGAGGGCTTTGTAACTGACTGACCAACACAGCAGTGGGAAGTGATTGAAAACTATTTCCTTTTGCTTTCTAAAATATATCTGGCAAACTGGCCACAAAAGCCCTATATTAAAAGGAAGTAGTTCAGGCCACAAAGCCAAGCATTCAGAGCTGAGGAAATGCCAGAATTGGGATTGCTTTGTAACTTTCCTCTCCTTGTAGTATTTACATTGTTAGGAGGCAGTTTTAATTGCAGGATCACAGTTATTTCTCTCAGAGGATGTTTGCCTCTTTCAGTTCAGATGTGACATCTCAGCTTAATGAGAAGCTGCTGAGTATTTTGATTTTTAGAGGTTTTTTTCTGTCATTTTTTGCCATTTGGATTTATGTGTTAGTCCATGTTTTGCTTCCTGTTGTGACTGGTTTTACTTCCTGGCCTTCTTTCTTCTTGGCCTTTTGTGTTGTTCTTACTGTTGTACTGCGGTGAGTGATTTGCTCTTTACAGTATCCCTAGAAGTAAGAGGTTGGAATTAGGTCCATTTTGCAGATGGGTGTATGAAGTGTAGAAGCTAAACTGTAAGGCTCACACTAACTTTGCACAACCAATTTGACACACACGAGACTCCTTCTAACTTCAACTGCAACTTAGTTTGCCAGACTTTGCCTATGAAGAGGGAAGGGAGAGAAGCCCTATAGCAAAGAGCTCTTTAAAGAACATAAATTAAATTCCTACTCTGAATTACTCCCGAGGGGAATCTGCAGTGTGAGAGGCAAGCTACCCTCATTAAGGGCCTAAAGATAAGTGGCATGAGTACCAGTCCTCATGCAAATTGCCATTTCTAAAATGTTGCTGTTTGTAAGTTACTTGTTCAGCATCATGACAAAACAAATAACAGCCCAGACTTCCAGTTAATCATTCAGCTGTCAAACCAAGACAATCTCTTTTTCCCTACCCACAGCATCTTGTTTCTTTTACTCTAAATTCACACCTTCTGAAACAAATGAGTCAATAGTGTCACACAAATAACCCCAGCACAGTTCAGATTTATTTCCACAGCAGCTTCGTTCTGTGTACTGAGGTAGGAGTTAGAAAAAATAGCATACGATCATAAAAGATGATGATTTAAACATCATACTCCAAAATACACATGCGAAAGGGTCTGGTTTATTATTGCAGTTTAAAATTTAACATTTTCTAACTGTTAAGTCGTGACTTTATGTGACTGTTCTTCTAGGGCACAGAACAAATGCTGTCAGATTAACAGAGGGAACAGAAATAGGAAAAGGAGAAAGATGTGAAATGCAGAGATGTGCCAGTCTCACATAAAGTTGTTTACAATCAACAATTTGTCTTCTTTGTTTATAGCTCAGTAAAAATGTGTCAGACCTCAGTTTTTGTTCCTGTAGGTCATATGAAAGTTCCCATGATGTCAGTGAGATTTTGCTATAAAAGCCTAAGAGGCTGACCCTTCCGAAGAACAGTGTGACTATGATGTGATGCTTCTGCTGTTTTGTTTTGGTTTCTTTTCCTGCAGGTGAAGATGAGGATGAGTTTGAGAATTTCATGCTTCCTCTCACAGTTTCATTTGAAAGTGTGGCTCAGCTATTCAACAGTAGTTTTGTACAAGAAGAAGCAAAGGTAGGTTTATTTCAATTACAGAGAAAGAAATTACTGATGGGAGAAACTAATAGTGGAACAAGCATTTAGCAACAAACTTGTCATCTCTTCTGTCTGTCCCTCCTGGCATGTATATACCTGTATACTTGTGTGTATATTTATACCTGTATACATATATACATATTTAGGAAAGTAGACAGTAAAGATACAAAAGGTACTGATTACTATCCTAAGCAAACTCTGTACAAAGATTTCATAAAGGCATTCGGATTTTTCGGTGCTTTGTGGATCAAGGGGCCCTGTTTGACCCTATTTATAATTGAAGGAGCAAATCTGTCTTCAGTGATAGCTTATCTGGTTCATATGTAATATTCCCTTTTGCCATGTAAATATCCTGTTTGTGTATATTCATATATTTATTTGGGGGTATGAGGAGACATGTTGCAACACGATTGATAAACACTGCTGCTTTGAAGTATTTTTTTCAAACAAGAATTTATTATATAAATCAAGACTTTATTAAATGGCTGGGCATATATGTATAAATAGGAACTGGTCTTGAAGTATTGCACCCTTAAACTGAACAAAGTGATTAGGATAACTGATAGCTAAATAAGGTTTTTATGTGCCTGTGGGAGCCATATTAGGATTGATTTGACAAGTCAGTTCAGCTGTGGCAACAGTCATAATATCTAACACAACATTATGTTTTATTAGTAAAATCCTTAAGTGTAGCAAGCTGTTTGTGTCAAAACAACAGTATATTTTAGGGAAGAAAAAGACTTGCTAGGTAGAAGCTGCATCATCAGGAATGGTAGTATATTGGAGCACTATTGCATTAGAGATCCCCTTCTACTGTCATGGAATAAATAGTTAACAATGTGCACTGGAGTGCTCACTTCAGCTACACAGGGTCATTTTGAAGAAACCCTAAGAGTTTTTAATTCACTGTTTTGAAATATGATGAAAACTTAAGTACTACATCAGCATATTTACCCACTCTTTTGTAAGAAAATAGATAGATATGGTAGAAATATTTAGTAACTGATTTGCCTGCAGTACATGGCTGACATGACCAGAAGATGCTCAGCTCACAGTAATCGTTTGAATTAAGCGAATATTGTTTTTTAAATAGTAGTTAAGGTTATTTCAACAATTAATTCTACTTTCCTCATTTGTTGTTATTTAATTTGAATAACTTTTCATTTATGAAGTAGGCACAGTTCATCTGTGTTGGATTCATCTCTTATATTCTGAAGTTAAAACCCTAAAAACTAGGACAAAGAGGTCACTCGATAGAATCACCCTTTCTGTAGGAAAGTGGCTTTATCTCACGTGTGGATTCAGTTTATTAAAATATTTGTCCTGTCTCCTTTGCTTGAAACTATCTTGGTAGAAAAATTTTAATGGAGTGCCAGTGATATATTCCTAAACTAGCAAGTTCCTAACGACCCTGGAAAGTGACTGCTTGATTACACTTTAACGGTATTTGCAAATAAAATCACAAGTAATTAAGGGGAAATCTCCAGGCTTTTGAGCAAGTTTGATGCATGATAACTGCCTGATTCAGCTTCATCTAGAGTAATGCTGTGTAGACAAGAGCTACTGAGATCAATAGCAACATAATGATAGTGGCAGAATTAAGTGAGTAACCTGAGAACTGTGTCTTCAAAATGCATGCAGCTGCCACAAGCCAGGGCCACACAGTGCACTCCGTGCTTCCGTCCTAAATGTTCATCAAAAGACGCCCTGCAGGAAAATGGAGTTAGATGCTCTTTATTGCTGATCGTGTCTCTTGCCACATTTATCAGGGAAATTGGATTAGCAGTTGGCAGCTGCAGGTAGACAAGGTTCTGCAGTGATTAAATATGCAGCTTGGCTGCATTTGTTGTGACAGACCTTTAGTAAATTCTACTGTAAGCACCATCTGTCTAATTTGTATAAAGAAAACTTGGTGCTTTAAGCTACTGATAAAGAACTAAATCTGTTGCTTTATCATAAACAAAACTTTTGCTCTAAATTCGCTTAAACGTAATTTATTAGGTTAAAGCTATTTTTTCTATCATAATGAATAAATAATACATGCAAAAGCGCTTTCAGGTACTTCATTTTGCAAGTACTGAAAACAAAAACAGTTCGGTTCCTCAATAAAATGCTTAGTATTCTGATCCACAGGGAGATGACACTGTTAAAATATCACTATGAAAATGGTTCAGGACTGCCAAATTCATTTAATTTGTGGTTTTTACTAGGACTTTCTAACTGGCTAGGGTTTGGGTTTTTAGTTTTTTAGTATTTTGAACGACACCATTGAAAAACAGCTGCAACAAGGGAGCTCTTTCTTTTAGAAATACATTTGTAATCATTACATCTGCATACAAAACATATGTTTAGGTTGTTTTTTTCCAGGGAGAGCAAATATAACTGAAGATGGCTTAAGTAGTTATGTGCCCCTTTTTTTCTTTTCTGATACTTCCTTCTTCACGTTTTTATATTAATAGGAAAAATGTCCAGTATTAAAACAGTGCCTGATTTTCTCCTCAGGATTTCCAGGTTTCTCCTGCCAATCCAGTTAAGTAATATATCCACTGGGTAGCTGGAATCTCAGTAGTACTTTGTTTATAATTGTGACATCATCAGGTTTGCTAGAAATGCATGGAAAAAAAAGGATGTGTGGAAAAAGCAGTGAAGTAGCACCATGCTATCTTTAGCTGGTTTGTAGAAACTCCATGCTGTTAAATTATTTAAAATCCTTGATTTTCAGCTTGCACACATTAAAAGTTTTCACACTAAGTGCCAAATGTTGCAAACAGCACTTTAACAGAATGATTTTGCTTTGATCCCTGTAGCAGTTCCTGAATAATTTATCACAGGTTATTGCCTTAATTCTGGAGAGGGATAGAGCAATAAAGGCAGATGAAAACACTCCAGTTGAAACACCTTGGGGCCTGCTCATTCCTCTGACACGGCTCTTTTGTTGGAACTATTTAGAGGTTATTAAGATGTGTCTCCAGAATTAAGAGTATGCTGTAAGGATGAAGACAGCCATCTTAATTCTAAAGACAAAGCGCAATGACCCTTCACCTTTTTTTTCCTTTGTTGTTATTATATAGTAGAATTATGAGGGTAATATTATAGCTGCACCCAGTAGTGCCACTATAGTTAAGGGTCTGTCAGACTTTCCATTACAAGCCCCGTTTTGGGGGTGGGCGGCGTGAGTAGACTCGTCTGTTTTAAATTGCATTAGTCACACACTTGGCACGTGTTGGCAAGTCAGAGGGGGTTTTCTGTGAATATTGAAATCTCCAGCTCCTTTTAAAAAATCCATTGAAAAAAATCTTTTTTCAGGAGTTTGAAACAAAATGAATGGATTTCTTTTTAAAATGGCTGTGTTTTAATTAATCTTAAGTAAAGCTGTCCCTGGCATGTAGGGAAGGATATTTCAAATCCAACATCTGAACATAATTGTTTCATTAGCGAGAAAAGCTATATCTAAACCCCACATCACTGACAAGCTCCTCTTGCTATGTTTCGTGTATTTACTGCTCTTCACTTTTCATCTTGCTCGTCTTGCCGTTGCTGGTGTTGTTATTAACTGTCACTTTGCCCCAGAAATGGCTGGTGGTCAGTTGTGAGTGAAGCAGTAGCTTCATGTATTCTTCAGATTACTCTGTTAAGTTTGCAAGACACTTCAAATCCCACAGGACAACAGACAAAAACTAGATGTACAAGTGTTTAATGTTGTTTGTCAGTAATAAATTCTATGCACATGCTGTATGAAAATTTATAATGGACTAGAACTTGGCTATCTTGGGATAATACGGTTAGGACAGGGGTGTTCTACTAAATGTGACTTAAGCAAGCATGGAACCTAGGGTGATTTTTTTGCTCCTATTAGAGTGTAAATGCATGTTTACTAGTGACTTAAATGGACGAGGATTTATCTCAAGATTCTACAGGCTGTTAGGATGTTGCCAATTGTAGGCAGTGTTATTTGATAAAAGTTGAGTTCTAATGGGTAATACCTAAACCACTGAGTTTGCTGGTATTTTACAGGATGAGACTATTACTGTGCCTTGTAGAGTGAGGTCATTTATTAAGAATAGTGTAGTTAATGGTATGGGCTTTTTCATAACAATACCTGAATTCAAAGACTAGAAACCCAGGGAATTAAGTTTATGTAGTAGTTGTTCTCATTTCTTTAGAATTCACGGTCGGATGGTGTCTGAAATTGCCTGGTGTATTGCATATTTTGTGTGGTTTCCCACACAAATCATGGTGTTTAAAGAAAGTTGCACATCTACTTTTATTAACAGCTTTTAAAATCTCACAACCAAACTGTTTCTTAAATATATCTGCAAACAAATGTTTTCTTACAGCCAGCTGTTTTTATAAAGACAGGAAAAGCATGTTAGAGCAATATGGGTTTGTCTGGTTGTCTTTTTCTAATCCATGTTCTGGAGACCACAGTAGATGGTGAGCTCTTCAGCCCCAAGCACATCTTCAAACAAAGGCAAGTTCATGTCTTGCCAGGGGCTGCTGCTCCCCTCTTTCCCAGCTCCAGCCTTCTCTTTGTGTAGGCTTGCTTGTCTCTTTGTTTTTTTGGCTAGAATGGGGAAAGGAACCACAATTAATCTGGAAGATTTCCACTTCCTCGTACGTATCGGTGCATCTCTGTATGCCTTCAGAAGGAACTAAAAAGCATTGCTGCCAAGTTCTTCTTCTAATTCTTTACATTTTGGCCACCATGTCTGCTAAAGAGTTACTTTCTGTGTGGACAAAACGGCACACGAAGTATGAAAATGCAGATGAATATAAAGTTGGAATTTTATATTGCATCTTCTCAGTATTGAACACTTCCTCTCTAGCGATTTCAGAGTCCCATTAAAGTTAATGAGAGTAGAGACCTCTGAGCATCTTGCAAGTTCAGGCCATTTCAGTGCACAACAGAAAGGAAATGCAAATATTAAAATACTCTGAGCAACCTCACCAGTGTTTTGTAGAGAACTCAATTTATCCTTGGATAAATCTATGTGTGCGCCATCCATGTCAGTTGGATTGATGGGCCTGTATCTGAAAAGTAGAAATCAGTCCTTGTGTAAGATTACATTTAGCAGTTTAACAAGGCATCAGCCATAATTTGCTCTGTATGGATCAATTAAAATTAATCTATGATTCTTATCTTCTGTATTTTTCAACACTACAAATACTCGTGTTAACACCAAAAGGTACGTTGTTGAAAACTCTGGTTTTAAAGAGCTCCTTACTGGGGTGTTTTCCCATATTTCTGTGATTATACTTTGACCAGACTGCAGTACTGTAGTCTTTTATTATGGAAAAAAAAAAGTAAAAACCCCACCTGCATCCGTGGATAAAATGTATTAAAACCACTTTGTTGTCAAAAAGGCATGTTCATGTCTAAGTAAATTGAAAAGTATGTGTGTATTGTTAAAATATTTTTCATTCTCTGGTGTTTCTTAGTGATGTCTATTAATTATCCTGAAAACATCCCTATGGCTCATTATCTGTGCACAAAATGTTGTCTGCATCTGAACTGGAATGATTCTGAAGCCACACTTCATTCACTATAGGGAAAAAAAATGCATCTCAGAACTAATATTAATACAGATGGAGATTTGCTGTGTTGTCCTTGAACAAAAAAGTCAGGTTTTGAGGAAATCTAACTTGGAAAATTACTTAAAAAAAAAACACACAACCAAAGGATATGTTAAAATAACAGTACAGTGAGCATCTCAGTGCAACCTTAGTTGTAGCTTGAAATGAGTGTCAGTCTTACACCTCACTCAAAATATTACAAGATTAAATTAACATTTTATTGTTATTATTACTTTAAATATATTGATACCGGATGCACTTTTAAACTTTGATACATGGTATTCATATATTATGTTTTAATTTGCATTATTCATTAGGAAAGCATATGGAATAATCAAAAGCTTTTCTTAAGGGTTTTGTTAGTGTTATCCCTATAAAACTTGTGGAAATCTTGCTTGATAAAAGAATCTTTGTGGTTTTGATTAAAACAAAAAGGTTTTGAGCGAGACATTTAAACTAATGAATCACAATCAGATATGTGGTCATTATTGGCTGATTATTACTCCATCTGCTCTGTGCTAACGTGAAAATCAATTACTGTGTCTCTTTCCCACTGACAGCGTATGTTGATCGGGCTGGCAAGGGATCTTCGAGGGATTGCCTTTGCACTAAACACAAAGACCAGCTACACCATGCTGTTTGACTGGATGTATCCTTATTACACTATGACAATACCAGCTCTGTGCACAGAGGGATACCAGGCCCCTTGCATTAGTTTAATAGTATGGCACAGTGGGGAAGAGGAAACAAAGCTAAATGAACTAATGTGTAATCAGCTAAAATTACAGCACAATGGCAACCATGCAGTTAACTGGGAAGGACCACAGAGAGGTCACTTTTTTGTTGTGTCACACTACTAATCTACAAAACATATCCAAGCACTTTTTCTCCCTTCGTAAATCCCTGATGTTTTCATAAAAAAAAAAAAAAAGCTCTGTCTAACTCCAAACACAATGTACCAGCATTTGCTTTAACATCAAAAGTGCTTAAAAAAATACTACACAAGTGCTATCTGGGGAGATTCCTCTCTCCGGTATGAATCATGTCTTTAATTTAGTCAGTTACTTTCTATTTATGTCAACTCTATTAATACCACAACACCTGCAGTCTTCTTGATCCAGAAGAAAATGGACATGTGAAAACAAAAGCAAAACCTTTAGTCTGTAGTTTTCTCCAATAAGGAATGATAATGGAATTCTTTAAATTTTTGCTTTAAATATTGTATATACATTTTTATGCCAACAAATACAATAATACTCATGGGAATTTCCTAATACTATAGAGAAATGGCTTGTATTTTTATAAATGCAGTAGCTGTAATTCTCTCTTCAGGCTCTAATTCTCTCTTTAGTAACAAGCTGCTGAAGTACATAGTGAAGTAACTAGAAAATAACTCGCTTTATAATTTAGATCTCACAAAGCTATTGAAGGTAATTAGGTATTTGTTTATTTTATGGACATAAAAAATGCCATTCAAGTACAATTGCATGCTTGACCTTGACTAGAAATCAAGCTTTTAAAACCATTTTTATTTGAAGTAAACAATGAAACCCTGCTGTTCACTAATAATCTTCCAGGTTAAGAAAAAGGAATGCATCAACATAGAAATGCAACTAGGAATTTAGCCTTTAAGGACTGAAAGGCTTATGCCAGCAGAGCCTGGTATGATCTGACAGACATCCTTGTGTGGTGGGGGTAGGATTCTGATGACCATTCAGATAAGCCCTGTTCAAGACCTTCGCAAGTCTGCACTGATTTTGTCTATGTGCAGATGCAGCTTGCAGAAAGTAAGTCTAAAACATAAAGCAGTGTAATCTTTATTTCTTTTAAAATCAGTGGAAAGCATCCCTAAATTCCAGTTTTTGAGGACTGGGTTAAAAAAAAGGAAAAGGAAAAAAAAATTGAAACAAGCACAAACCCCCAACACTACTGAAGACAGACTATGAATTAACATCTCATTTTCTAGTGGGCACCATTGGGTACATTTAACTTCGTTAGTACTGTTTGTGCTTGTGTTACCCTAAAACTTAATCATGAACTCAGGAAGATGTGTAAAAGCAGAGCTGTGATGCTTCCATTTCAGATTCTTTCTACTTTGTTTCTGCTAGTGCAGCATGAGTATCATGCTCTGCTCCTGTGCAAATCTCCAGTTGTAGGAGGAGGGATAACAAGGCACTCACCTCCTCTCCATTTGAAAGGAATGGATTCATCCATGGAGGAGGGTTTTTTAATACACGGCTATGTAATCCTCAGGACCCTTTCCTGATTTTTTAATTAATGAATTTATTCTTTCCAGTTTACGGATTAAGTTTATTTCAAATAAACAGCCTCCAACTTTTTATTTCCTTATTCCATATGAATAATAAAACCAGATTGAAATGTAGCTTTATGTGGAATTCAAAGCTTTGGCCTTCTCAGCTTCTTTTCCCTTATGCAGGTTCAAAATCTTTTTTCTTCCTCACCTTTTGCTGTAAAAGATAAGTGCATGCTTCTGCTCAGTGGATTTCACCTCATTTGGCTGAGCCCAGCGTCATCCAGGTATTGATCCGAAGTATTACAGCAGAATAAGCTGCTATTATTGTGACTCTTATTTACTGTATATAAAGACAGAAAGGTAAATGGGAGCAGAAGAGAAGGTCAGATGCCAATTGTATCACATAAAGTTTAAATATCCTTTGATTAACATTTTTGTAGTTTCAGATACATCATCAGGAGATGGTTTTAATAGCAAAGAAGAGCTGTTTTTCAAACAGATTTTAGTCTGTTATGTTTGAAGCCCTAGTATTTCAGTATTGCAAATGGCAAATACAGAATATGAGGCAAAATAAATCTGATTTACTTGTATTTGTTCAATAAATAAACAATACAAAGAGGCAAGGGATAAAAGGCTAAGCTTTTAATATACCATAAGATGATGTTTATTCTGTGCTGAAGACTTAACGGAAATAGTCACTTGTAAATCATCAGTAGAAGAATGCACTGATAAACTTTTCAGCTGATTGCAGGAAATATTTTGGTCTAAGCCCTGTCCCTAACAAAACCAGCAGCACTCGGTGATCTCTCACCTGAGAGATTTTTTTTTTTCCTCATGGTGCAATTTAGGATTAAAGTTTTGTCCAGTAGATGGCAAAAATGAGCAAAAATAATTTCTTTGAAGTCCTTTTGGTCCAGGGAGGGGGGAGAGGCACGGGGGATGCTGTTGGATCTTGTATTTTACCATTATGACTGGGTTATTAGGCTCATGGTTTAGAGGTGAATCGTCAGGTATGCTGAGGCTGCGCTAGATTGCCAAATAGGGCTGTTTTGTAGCAGGCTTGCTTATACTAATTGAGTTTCTCTAGCAAATCAGGCTCCTTGGAAAAAGGCCAAAGGCTTTTCATAATTGTATTGACAAGAAAATGAATATGATAAATGGTGTTCATTCAGCTGAGACAAGATTTATAGTTTTCCTCTGGCAAGGGATGAAGGGAAAATACTTATAATAATAGTAAAATTTGTTTTAAAGTTGTATTAGGTGATCTCTCAAAAGACTTCATTAGAATATTTCCAAATATTTTAAGCAGCTTCAGGTGTTAAGTATAGCATCTTCCCAAAGTAGCGGGTAATGAAAGATGAGGGAAGACATCACACAAACAAACAAACAAAACAAAACAAAACCTAAAACCTTGGATATGAAAGTCATTTATTCTTCCTGAAATATTGATATGTCAAGCTGTCAATGATGATTCCAGTACCACAGCTTTGGGAAGTTTATTTGCCTTTTGTATTCGTTACATGTGGTCTCTGCAATTTGTAGGTCAGTCCTGAACATGCAGGTGTGGCCTGAAAAAATCCTGTATAGCAATTTGAGTGGCATCAAAACCTGGTTTTGTTAATGGTGATGATTCTCCTTATGTATTTCATTCTGCTATTTACTGCAGGACTGCCTGGATGAGATGTTGAATATTTAATCTGTTTTCTTCCATACTAATATCAGACTGCAGTCTAAGGTCCGTGGTCTCACAGTCAGATACATCCATGGAGATTCAGTTGTGAGTTCAGGGTAATATCCACTTTTTTGTTGCTTTCATTTAATGTTTCTTGCAGTTAGGTGGTAACCCATAGGCAGTTTTTCCTGTGTTCCTCCCAGTTGATTCTCAGTATTTAATGACTTCTGTTGTCTGTGAAAGAAAAAGGTTGCAATAAGAAAATGGGTTGCAAGAATTAAATTATTAGGCTGGCTCAGAGTTGCAGTCAGCTAGAAAGCATGTGATGTTTATACACAAGTGCGTGATATTGCCTGCATAAAACTATCTATGTGTGTAGAATCAGAGACACTAAAATCATGGAGAAGTGATCTCTCATTGAGGTGTTTTACACCATTGAGGTGTCTTATCTAGTGGTCATTTAAAAGTTCCAGTTAACGTAGACATTTGGATATCTGATTGTGTGCTGCTTCAGACATGGATCACTACAACAAGCAAAACTGTCATTCCATCTAACTACTATTGTTACATGTTTATCCAATTTTATATCATATTTCTTAATGAAATAACCACATGCAGCACTAAGATGGCTTGTTCAAAATGAATCTATTTTTTAATAACTAACTTTTCAAGCTCTTAGTTTTGAGGATTCAGGATTAGGTACAAACTTGGAAGAGCTAAACAGAAAGTAGAGATTGAAGTTCCCCACTCACAAGAGGAGAACACATTTTCTCATGAAACCAATCTGTTTGTAATAGCAGTTATTGCCAGTTGCATTGATTCAAACCACAGTATCACTTTTTGCAGTTTGAATTTCTTTGAGCTCAAACTGACTGGTCAGGTTAAGTTCATGACTTAGCCAGATTCATGGAAGCTTGTGGTTAAAAACACTTAAAAGTAATACTCTGTTTAAAACCAATTTGTTCCACTTCATCGGATTTATAAAAGAAATAATAAATTGCTGAAGCCTTTCTGGTGACCCTAGCTTTTATAAAATTTGACTATAGTTTCCAGACTTTCCTTGTCAATGAATATGGACTCAATGCTTAAGTGTTTTAATTAGATAGCTAATCATACTGGATGTATTAGCAGCCTTTGCTGCTGCCGACTTACATTTCGGTTGGGGGGTTTAGCTGTGAAGTTACTCTATTCACCATGAAATGTGAAAAGATGTTGTTTTCTACCCCATGAAATTACACAAAGGGGCTTTTGCAGCATCACACCATGTCCCTTTTGTGTACATAGGGCTACTAGGAAGGCTAAGGAAGAGGCATGACCTAAGAAAAACCATTAACAGCATGTGTCAGTTCTGTATCTTCCGTGGTATCTGCTGCATCTTGAGAACATTTAACATCCTCTGTTGGGAGTGAGCTGGACTGGGAGTCCACTTCATAGGAAATGGAACTGGCAGTAGTGAATTTTTAAAGGTGTGAGGTGGCATGGATCATCTGTGCCCTTTGAGGATGTTTTAGGTAAGTGAGATTTGAATTGAAATCCCAGTTTATTACTGGATAACTCTCCATGTTATCTTTAGTCTGTTTGATTTAAAATGTAAAGAACCCCATAAAGGAGTGAGAAGCAAGGTCTGAAAGTGTATTTCACATGTCACCCTCTTCTGCTATATATAGTTTAAGCCTGCAGTGCCTCAAGCAGCTGGCAGCAAAAATGCACAAGTCTTTAGATGTCTCAGACAGACAGCAGTAGCCAGAATGCCTCCCATCTGTCTGCACAGCCTGTCATTCATCAGCAGTGCTACAGCTGATGGCTTTAGCCTCCTCCAGAAGAGCTGTATTGAACTGAGACATGACTGTGTCTACATAGCCTAGAAGCATGTAAACCTTTATGTATTTCACAATTCCATGTTGAGTGCTTGGCCTGTATTCCACTTGGTAAGGTGTCTGAATGTGCAATAGCATTTTCCTAATAATAGTCACTGTTTCTGGTGTGGTTAAATAAAGCAGAATTATATGACATGAAACAAAGTTTAAAATAAAAAATAAGTTTATTATTAAAACAAAACCAAGCCACTGCTGACTAGATCAGCTAGATCATGTTTTAGTAGCCAGTTGTAGAGTTAAAATTTCTTGATTCAGTATAAAAATAATTGTGTAATTCTTTGCCACTCAGGCTGCGCTACCTCATTTCCATTTTCCAGTCTGCATTCATAGCCAAATAAACTCTGTTTTTCAGCATGCTGGGAAAACTAGGGGTCAGTTTTGTATTAAATCATTGCATTAAATAATTTGATACAGTTGGTAACTCATAAGATTATTGGTTTTAAGTTATGTTGCAGAGTCTACTAAACGTATTTGTTTCTGTATTGTGTTCTCTAAAGTCCTGATTTAAAAGAACAGATATCTCTTGGGTGCTAATGAGCAAACAGCTCTCCTGAAAGAAATCAAACTTTGCTGGTCTCCCCCACGCAGTTTGGCTGGATTCTTTTCTTGAATGCTCTGAAAAGAGCTTCATATAATCAAATTGTTCCCAACCATTTATATAGCAAATTTATATGCGAGGTGTCACTGAAATCTGGGGGGGGGGGGGGTAGTTAATTAAATTGTCATTTGTGACTTATGCCATTCATTGAAAATCCGAACTCATTTTATATATGTACTTATAGGTTAGCATCACACTACAAACTGCCTTTCTTTTCCTTCATTACAGCTCTAGTATATTTACTGTTTCCCACTTAACCATTAACGCTTCCAAAGGATTTAGTCTTCTAAGCAAACACTTCCTTAAGTTTATAGGTGTTGGCCTTTGTGAGAATGAGCTGCCAGGGTCTGTGTCTGACCCACCCACCTGGAGGTGTAGAACAGTTTTAGGCAAAGTTGTTTTGCAAGGTGTTATTTAATCAATATCCTCTTTAACTTGGTCTGGTGAAGATACCCCACATACATTTCTGTTCTGCAAAGAGCCATTGAGCTCTGGTACCGTGAGCCTGCGTGCACAACCCCCATCTTGAAGCTGATGGCAGAATTCATGCAAAACAGGTAAGAAGTATGTGAAAATAAATGATGAGTACTGCAACAGTGTGCATTCTCTGCTCCATCTTTCTATGTTTTGCTTATCCTTTTGATGTCTGACTTTAAGACTGCTACTTTTGTATTTGGAACAAAAATTCACAGTAAGAACACAGCTTTCAGTGCCATCATATTGTTTTACTAGAATGGTAGATGTTACAAAATCAGCTGGTAAGGGTTAATTACAGGAATATATATGAGAGACTGCTGTGATTTTACATTCAATGTTAGTGGAAGAGTATGCTTTAACCAGGGATAAATACCGACTCTATAATTAAATATTGGAAAATTGTCTGCTGTCAAGATTTGCTGCAGGCTGAATTTTTGCCTGAAGCCAAGCAGCATACATATGTGACTGGAAAACCACAACTCCCTTCACAGTGTCTTCTGCAACTTGTCTCTCTCAGCCAAAATAGGAAAAAGTGGCATTTAATACAGCAATATTTATAATCAACATACAGGTAGCTATGGGCTTCAGAATGATTCTGGGAGGTGGTTTCAATACTTGGCATTGCAATAGTTAGAATGAAATTTCTGGTTTACCACAACAGAACAACTTATTTTGGGAAATTATCATTACACTTGGAAAGATGTAGTGTGCTGCCCAAAGGAAGAAAAAAGATTTTTAAATGAAAAATTGATAGTTAAAGTCTCTGCGCTGGGTATCTTTGCAACCAAAGTAATGAGAGTTTTCAGCAGTGAAGTTTGTGTTCTCATTGTTTCTCATTTTGCCTTGCAAATCAAACTTACAGGGAAAAGAACATGAAATACTTGAAATTTGAAAAAATATTCTGTTGAATCCAGTGGCAGGAAATTGGTGCCTTGAAGTTCAGAGCTGGCTCCCAGTCCGACAGCAGTGTGTGCGATGGGCACGTCATCCCTGAATGGCTACACAAGCCTTATGGCAGAATTCCCTGTTTCTTGTTTGTGTTGACTTGCTTGCTGTGACTCCCTCTTTGGTTTGCGTTGGCTAATTGTGTCTTTTATCCTGGTAGGAGCATAATAAATTGCTGGGAAAGCTTAACCTCTTTTTATTCACGATGCCATGTAGAAGCAGCACACTCTGATAGTGCTGCAGCTGATTCCAAGGAGGAGATTGTTAAGGCATAAACACAGAACCCTAATAATGGTAAACAAACGCAAAAAGGAACTGGAACAATAAATCTTATGCAAAATACTGTTCTTCAAGCTACTTTCCATATTCATGTTATCCTTCTACTTATTGCTATTCAGAAAATCTGCCTTGTTCCCTTTAGAAAACATCATCTGGGATAGTGTTTGTTCTTGTGTATTGCATTAGCTTTTACAGGTTAGAATGCATTATACAATATGCTTTGATATGGTTAAAATATGTTACAGAGTATCAGGTTGTGCATTATGCCACTCTGATACTGAGAGGATGTACTGGTTTGGGGTTTTTCACCTCTGCCAGCCATTGTGCAGATGGAATACAGGGATGATTCATACAAGGTGTGTTTATAAACATCCAGATCTACTCCAGGGTTTGCAGCAAAGGACTTTGCAAATAGGCACTCTAACAGCAAAATACTGGACATACAGCGAATACAGATAAATACTGCTGTCTCTGTGAAAGGGGTGACCCAGGGGCTCCATATTTGATCAGACATGGATGGGTAACAAATAGGGGTGAATACTGAGCCAGGGATGCTCTGGTTTGCATCGCTCAGTGATGATTCCTTCCTCTTTCAGCTCAAATAAACGCTAAGGGTAAGTTTTGCTTAAGTTAGAAGCTGAACACCTATATTTGAAGTTAACTTTTAGGCCTGGACTACAAGTTAGGCTTCTTTATCACAAAGAGAAACTGGAAAGATGCAACAGGGACTTTGGCAAGGACTCTGCTGTATTTCCTGATAGGGAACAAAACAGTTCTTGTTGGCTTAAATAGTACCTGTACATCAGGGAACACAACATGGTGTGATCTTCCTCAGGTCTGAATGTTCACAAAAACCATGTGTAACAATTTACACTTGGAGAACTGGTATGGGATTGCCATAGATTTTATGTAGCAGAATAATCAGTGTGGATTAGTCTGTGTTTAAAAGCTGTACAGATGCAGAAAACTGTGGTGTCACCTTTTCTGTTTCAGATTGGTTTGTCTTTTGCCATGGGATTGTTTCATTGTAAATGTATGGCGAGTGCTTATCCTTGGACTGAAAACCAGAATTACTTTATCAAATAATTGTACGTTGTAATCAGTGAATGTTTTTCTTGTTTTAGGAATGAACCCAGTGCAGTTTTCTGCTTCGATGACCATCTGAATATTTTTGCTGTTATTTTTTAGATCGCAACGTTTAAATTTTGATGTATCATCTCCAAATGGAATTCTTCTCTTCAGAGAAGCTAGTAAAATGATTTGTACCTATGGTAGGTATTCATTAACACTTCCTCTGCAGTGAAAGTCTCTGCCTGTCTCATGATACAACATCCTGTTAATTCGTATTGCTGAGCACCGATGGATTTGTGGAATACATAGCAGGGCTGTAACCTGCTGCAGCCAGTACCAGCCCTTGTGTGCAGAGCTGATGTGGCGCACCTTTGGGGTTTATTTGCCTTCATAGACCAGGGTTCATTCATGTAGCATTGTGCCTTGTATCACTTTTTAACTTGAATGTCAGTCTTCTGTCAACTGTAAAAGTATTTCAGCAAAGATGCAAGTGGGGTGTTTGATCTAGGCTACAACTGAGGTGTGGGCTGGTCTTATGTGTTCAGATTATCTTCCAGCAGTTCCAGAACATAATAGGACCATAACAGCTTTACCCTAGAGCACTGTTAAAGGTGTTTGTAGTAAGTTGCTCCATTTTACTGTTCCCACTCATGCATGCAACTTCAACAGGTCTTTGACACAAGCGGCTTATCTTACACTCCAGCTAACTTTGTTACTTACAATTTTGCTTTCTAAATATTTTGAAAACAACATTACCAAGTTTTTGAAGAGCAGCCTCATTTGTAGTCTGTGTAAACAGGAAGAGTCATAAATGTCCTATTTCTTGGAAAGAAAGAAAATTGGTGCATCAAATTTGCTTTCACTGCATTGAGGTTGCTTTTTGGGTGTGGAAACTGTGTGTTGCATTGTCTGCCTGTATAAAAAACTTCAAATGTAATTTTACATTGGATCTGTTGGGCATGGAAACAGTATATGCATACAGCATTTACTTACAACAGAAAAAGTCACACCCAGGTAACTCTAAGCCCTTGCAAAATCATTTTTCTGTTTCTTTTTCAAATCCACCACGTAGTAAGCCAGCATATTTTTTCAACTACGTTCTTAAGTAAAATTATTAAAATGATTAAGCAAAATGAAAAAAAAAGGGGGTTCCATGTATGAAATGAGGAAAGGTGAACCTTTAGATTTTAATATTCAATTTCTATTAGTCTTTCATACAATCACAGACTGGTTTGGATTGGAAGGGACCTTAATGCTTATCAAATTCTGCTCCCTCTGCCGCAGGCAGGGACACCTTTCACTAGACCAGGTTGCTTAAAGCCCTGTCCAGGCTGGCCTTGAACTCAAAAAATATTACTGGGCATCCACTCCTCTCAGTTGTTGGCATCAGGTTTCTAAACCCTGCTGAGTAAACCACACTATGTGGAATCAACCTGTTTCATTCCTTATTCATGCCTTAAAAAAACCCAACTTTGTAAGGAAACTTTTGCTTTCAGTTGAAGCTTTTATGGTGTGTATGTGAAGTTCATCACATTCTCTGCATTCAAGTATTGGTAGCTCTTGCACATGAGACAAGATTTTCTGTCTCATGCTAGAATTTACTTATGCAACATAAAAGGAAATTTCAGAATGGTGCAGGTCTAAGATTTAAAACTAGGCAGTGGAACCACAGAGCTGTTGAAGCTTGTGTCCAAATACCTGCTGCCTCGTTGTTACCTTGTGTGAAAGATACTTAGCCATGTGTGGCATCTGTTTGGAGATGTGTGCCATGGAAAGAAGTGAAATGACCGTAGCAGCTTTCTGTCTTTTCTGGTTTTAATAACTCCTTTCCTGTGGGAGGGTGACATTTTAGTCAACACATGTTTAAGAGAAGAACTTTTCCTAATGTCCTCTGAAAGAAAAACCTAAAATCCCATATTGACTGGAAGCGGAGGAAGCTGTAGATGTGGGAGAAAGCCTCCACTCAGTACATGAATGCCTTTTCTTTTTTTGCATTTTGCTTTTCAAACACATTCATATTATCAGTGTCTGAAAGGGTCCCATCAGGGATCTTTCCACTACTTAGCTGTGACATTTAGAGGAACTGTGTAGGTTTTCTTTTCCTACATCAGCGGCTAAAGCCGTTTCTGAAGTGGTCACTGGCTTGGAGTCTGGGAAGGTTTTACTGTCCACTGTGAGTATTTCAAGATACCACAATTCATCAGCTTTCAATAATGGCTGCTAATATTTTTAGCTTTTATCACCAATTACTAGTTTATGAGGTTTCCATTCCAGTGTACAGAAAGATGTAACTCTTCTGGAAACATGTTGTAAGGATTCATTTCTTGAATTATGTATTATTTTTTTTGAACATACGGATTCCTATAAAATCAGTGATATCAAGGGATTTTGCATTAATTTCAGTTGCCTTCTTGATAATGTTAAAACTTAATAATTGTGCTTTTAAAGAAAACTTTAATCCATAATACTCTATGACTTTTTAGAAGTATATCTGTCTTGTAAGTATATGCAATCTTTGCAGACATCTGGGGGAAAATAAACAAGTACACCAAGTGATGATTACAAAATCTCCCTGTGGTGTTCTTGAGCAACATTTCCAGCCCCGCATTCTGAAGAATTGTGTGATTCAGTTAAAAGAATGAATATGTACATGAATACTTCTAATCTAATCTGGTCCTTTGGCTCAGCTTTCAAATTTTTGGCTGTACAATTACTGCAAGTGTCTTAAAACTCTGAAAATAGTTGAGCTTTTATGGCTGAAGCATTAGAGAAAAAAATAGAAGATGCACAGCAAATGTCGACAGGCACTCTGTGATCATTAATCTTACCAAGTTAGCCCAACTTCTTGTATATGCCTGCAGCTTATAGTGAGTTCCTCAAAGCTGATCAGAAAGACACTTGAAACTCAAGATAGATTTGATTGAAATCTATACTATAATAATTGCCTTCTTAAACAGAGAAACACAGAAGTGTTGACATGAGGCGGAGGTGGGGGGAAATAGAAGCAAACATCTCTTTCTTTCATCACACTGTCCTTGTGGGAAGATGTGTCATTTCAGTCTCGGTTTCAGTTAATCCATTGACCGAGTGGCTTGCCATAAGCTCTACGCAGCCTTCTCTCATCCTGGAGTAGTTCTTTCCATCCCCTGGAGACCTGGCTTTGTTTGCTTCACTTGCCAATCCCTGTCTGAACACCAGACTTTACTCTGGCTGTTACCTCCCGCCTCCTCCTTGCCATGCCTTTGACGGTGAGGGTTCCCATGGCTCAGCAGGTCTCCAGGGACAGGCTTGGTCCCTCTCCTGCAGACGGTGTAGCCTAGTTGGGTTGTTTCTCTTTCTTAGAAGAATAGAACATACAAATAATAAATGAAAATATGGCTTAATTGTATTGTGCTTCCATTGGTGATACTTAAACTTGTTTTAGGACAGGACTTTTCCTTCTCTTTCACATGTGATGCTGTGGAGAAGATGCCAGGACAAGTATTATTTCCAGAAATTTCACCTGCACCAAATTCAGCATGAAAATTTCCAGTTGTGATTCGGGGCCTCTGGGAGTCTTCTGGCTATATAAAACCTAGGAGTACATAAATGTGATCTAAAATGTGTCTCTGTCCTGTCAACTAATTCCTGACAAGGAATTAGTAACTGAAGGGAGGTGGCATCAGGTGATTCTTCACACCAACCTCAGAGCACAGTGCGCAGGTAATCACTGACATAATGTTGATTTTAGCTAAGTCTGGACTACACCGATCAGGGCAGTTTTGGATAACATACAGATACTTTGCAGATCTGGCCTTCTTCAGGTGGTGAAAATCATCTCGAAGTTATATGTGGATTTGTTTGGGGTAAACCCCTTACTGTTGTTTACATGGAAATAACTTTGAAGCAAACCAATCTAGCATGTTGCTTTCTTTCCATCTTCAGTTTTTTCTGAAGTTTATGATGTCTGTGTATGGTACCTCCATTTACTATCTATATGTACTGTAAGATCTGTGCTTGGGCTGAAAGCAGAAAGGGGAAGAAAAGGGCAAAACTAAGGTGTGAATGTATGTTAACACTTGTGAGTATGGATGCTGAAATCTCTTTAATTCTAGACTGAAGCATATACTTTTTCTCCTCTAGACTGGCATGTAGTAATTTCATATTTTCTAGTGTAAAGTAGAAAAAAATCCAAAATGCTGATTTTTAAGCTAGGATAAACATCCTCAGCTGTCAGGGAATAAAATCTAAAATAGGAATTCCTTGTAGAATTAGCACCGCAGCGAGCATTTAATTCTGCTTCACAGACCCCGCTTTGCAGTTAGGGCAGTACTAGTGTGTCCTGTCCTGTTCATTTCTCACTGATGCTGACACAGTGCTGAAGACAAGTCTAAGATGTCTACAAATGCTGTATGTTCAAAAGATGTCAGGCCTGGTGTAGGATGCACTTAGATTGTCAATTACCCTCATTAGGACTCTGCGGCTGCTTGGCAGGGAGTGTTGTGTCTTGTCCATTACAGCTAGAGCCAGTCTGACTGTGTGATAGTGAATTAAAATAACAGACAGGAGAGAAGTGAAAGGAGTTGGTATAGTCTAGTCCACCATTCTTCATCCCCAATATATTTCACTTCTAATTCTCTATGTACAAGTCCCCTTCCTATGTGTTTTTGAACTCCCAGTTGTATAGGAATGATTTTTCAGTGCATGTTAGGCCCATCTATTTTTGTTTTGTGGTTTCTTTACATTTTAGTAAACCTCTTCCCTTTCATTATAGGAAACTGACATAAAAATAATACTTTCAATATGCTGGTTTTATTTATCTACATTCTGTCATGATATACTTTGATGTAAGTTTTTAATTTTGCTTCAGCTTTCAGCTCTTGTAGCAGTTACTGCTCAAGGTCAGCGATGAGGTTAGCCACAGTAGCACAAAACAATTTCCTGTTCTTACAGCCCAGGTAGCATTTGGATGTGGATTAAATTTTACCACATTTTCCAGTAGCCAGACACAATTATTTCTGATGAGCTTTAAATTGCTTCCAGAACATGTATTTCCAAACTTCGTGTGGTAATCTGTTCAGTGCCAACGACTTCATAACATAACAGTTCTTCAGAGTTTTGGTTCAGCTGATTCGTGCTGTATAACAGGTATTTCTAATCAGCAGCTTAACTTAAAAGTGGAGTGCTGACTGGTCCTGGTTGCCATTGGTCTTCTCTCTTTTGTGACAGTAGTTCCAGAATATATTGTTCTTCATTACCAACTCAGATTTCATAACCAGTTTCTTCTGGCAAATTTATCTTGGCGCTGTGCATGCTCGTTGTGCCGATTTGAGAGGTTTTATGCATGTTTTGTTATTGTGGAAGCTTTTAAAAATGGGGTTTTGAAGCTCACTCTCATCTTTATGGTTCACATTTTCCTCTTCGTTCTCTGTATATAGCCACTTCTTTATACTGCCCCAGCATTCTGAGTGCCTGGAAAGCATACTTGCAACACCATTTTTATGGGGCAGTGGTGAATAATAAAATAGGAAAGGGGAAAAGGCAAAAACCACTTTTTTTCTATAAAGGTGGTAAATTTTCATAACCTTTGTTTAATCTTGCCAAAATCTAATTCACACATGTTAAAACATGATTTAGTTGTATTATTATACCTAGTGCTTATTGGACTGAAATCTAGAACAAGCTCTGCTTAAATGAAGCTCAGCCATAAGGAAATCATTTTTGTATTATAACTCCTACTGTAAAAGCAATTAAGGAGGAGAACTGAAGAGGAAGCTGCCTGTCCTGACATGCTCCCACATCTGGGAGGAGAGAGGGAATGAGCTGTGTAAAGAGCTCTGGTGCATATTGCCAGTGGGATTCTGAGGCTTGGTGATGTTATCTTTGGTCAGAGCATCCCAGTCTGGGGGCTTGCTGGCTTCGTGCTTCCCCTCTGCATACACACACTTTCTCTTTCCAGCTCCTTTGTTTATGTACCAAGGAGTTTTGGGGTAATGAAATGCTTCAGTTACCAACCAGATTCAAGCCCTTATTTCCTATCTAGCCGCTTCACCCAGTATCTTTAAAAATCCTTTAGTTATTCCTGTCAGAATCTTGTACCACATCTGAGGCTCAGAGAGTTTTTGTGAGTGACGTTGTTGTCAAATGCAGGGCAAAAAGCTGTATTAGAGGAGTCATTGAGAATTTTGAGCGTCAGTGTGGTTTTCGTTTGATTTTTAACTCAGCAGTAGCACTGCAGCTTCACTGATCAGTCTCTGCGTAGTTTTCATTTTGACAGGAGCTATGATTTTCAAACACAGCTTTTTAAATTCAGCGTGTCAAAGGTCACTCTTATGCTGATTTAATTTCTCTATATTGTTTCTTTTAACAAAAGGGGTTTATGAAATTGCATTTTGGTCCTCCACTACAGGGATTATGAATGTAAGCATACCCTCAGTAGCTGAGGAGTTGTTCTTGACCTGATTCCAAGTACCTCAGTAAATTAGTTTATGTTCAGTAGTATCTATGGTGTGTAAAATATTCCCCTGAAGCTCCTGCTAAATGTTACAAGTAGATCATGCTTTTTTCATCTAGTCAGGCATAGCACTGCACTTCTTATTTTTTTCAATAACTAATGCTGAAACACCAGTCTTTGTTCTAGCACCACATCCCTTGAATCATAGGCTGGTGGCTTGGGGCATTGGTAACAGGCACCATGTGGTCTTTCACCTCTGCTACTAATTTGAAATCAGCTCTTCCCACTCTTAGGCCCTTTTAAAATGAGTCCATGAACACAGAACAGTTCTCTGTGGACTTCGTCAACTTTCAGAAAGCAACTTTTAATCTTGTGCAAAACCCAAATTCTTCTGTGTTTTCATTAGGAGGGATAGGCACTGAATTCTTCTGCCCGAGGTGAGGCAGTGTGAGGGAGCAGGGGTTGTGACTTTCTCTGCTGAATGCTTTATGCTGATCAATGGATTTAAAGTTTTAATTACAGGGTGGTTTTTATGAGGTAATAAAAATGACAGAAGATCAGCACTAGTGGTACCTCCTAGAACTCATGTTCCCAGGCTAAGGGATTCCTCGACTTTTGCAACTTCTTTCTTCATCATCCGTTTTTTCCACCAACTTCCAATTAATTTCCTTATTAAGTACATAATTGCTTGTTGACAACTACTGAGCTCTTTCCATCTGTTGTTGTGTATTACACCAGGTACTTCAAGGAGCTAGGACTGTCCAATGTCATGCTTGGATGGCTCAGCTGTAAACTCAAGGCTGTTACTTTCTTGGATCCAGAACCTTATCTTTGCTTATTTCTGAAGCCAGATACATATTTGGGTTATTAGAGATTAGCAGCAGAGAATTCAAAAGGGAAAGACCAGATGAAGTTAGTTTACAGCGCACTTACCTTCCAGTCTTGTTTTTTGCCCGAAGAATTGCACACTTTTGCACAGTAGCTGTCAAAAATAACATGCATCCTCCTGCTTGCCCTGGGTTCAGCAGTAGCAGTCATTTTTCTCCTCCTTAGTAGCTGGTGCAGTGCTGTGTTTTTGACTTTCAGCCTGGGAATAGCGCTGATAACACCGATGTTTTTAGTTGTCGCTAAGTAATGTTTACCCTGACCAAGGACTTTCTCAGTCTCATGCTCTGCCAGGGAGGAGGGGAAGCTGAGAGGAAGCAGAGACAGGACACCTGACCCAAATTAACCAAAGAGGTATTCCATACCACAGCACTTCATGCCCAGGAGGTAAAACAGGGGGCAGTTACCCAGAAGGGCTAGATCACTGCTCGGTCGGGCTGGGTATCGGTCGGCAGGTGGTGATTGGTTGTATTCCCTCCCCTTGTTATTTCCCTTATCATTATTATTATTGGTGGCAGCAGCAGTGGTTTGTGTTATACCTTAGTCACTGGACTGCTCTTATCTCAACCCGTGGGAGTTGCATTCTTTGCATTCTCCTCCCCATCCCTTCTGGAGCGGGGGAAGTGAGGGAGCGGCTGTGTGGTTCTGAGTTACCTGTTGTTGGGCTTAAGCCACGACAGCACTGCATCTCACAGGCAGCATTTGAAATTCACTGATCTTCTCAGTAATAACTAGACCAGGTCTTGTCAAATTTTAACACTCATTGAGATGACCTGGCTGGGATATCTTAAATGGAGCACTATATGAAGCTAAATGTATTTTATGCTTCATATTATGTAAAGGTAATTTCTCATTAATGCAAAGTATTGCAATAAGTGAATGTCCAAGTGCACTAGGAGACACTCTTCTTCTGCTATGTTTTGGTTTTCAAAGATGATCTTCTGAATATCAGTCACTTTTAGTATATGGGAGATTTAACAGCATTTGGAATTAATTTCCATGTAGTAGCAGTCATTGGAATTATACCCTTTTCCCCAGTTACACTGTGTTCCTGACTACAGCATTCAGGGTAATAGAGGCCCTTACATGACCATTTACAGTATCAAAACCATTTTGTCTTTTCATTCTTTTTTTCATTAAGAGGGCTTCGCTTTGATGGTAAGTGACCATCTTTCCTAGGTATTTGATTCTTCTTTTCCTTTCAGTAATTCCAGTGATGCCATTACAGCTTCTTACAGATCCCAGTTACTTCTTCCAGGCAATCCCTAATTATACTCCTAGTCTTTTATTTTAAATCAGCTTTTCCTTTACAACCTGATGGATAAATTGCCTTGTACTTGCTAGAAGTGGTGAACAACATTAGTGTTTTAAACGGCAACCTAGGTCTTTCCCTCTTTGCATCAAATGATACCAAATGGGTGATACATTGATGTGTTGGGTGTTTAGAAACAAGACTTTCCCCCTCATTTTTTGAATTACATGTTGTAAATTCCTCATTGTCAGTAATCAACAGCAGTAAGAGAAAGAATTAAGGCAGATACATGATTTGCAGTGGGAATTTGTGTGAGGTAGGAATGAGAGCTGTGTAGTCAGTTTAGTAATAGGCCTCAATATATATTAAGCAATCCTACACAGTCTATGAGATCTATTTCATCTCGGGCAAGTTTTTAGGGGCATTTTTTAATTGTCTATTATAAAAGCAAAACTGTTGTCCTACCTACTGCTCTCAAACAGCAGTGTTTGGAACTGTGAATAGTTAATGTCTAGTTCACTCGTCACTCCTTTATCAAAGTTGTTATCGTGGCCATGACAACTATGTTAGATGATGAAAGTCAAGCCAGACATCTGATTTGTAGACTACAGTGACTTTAACTGTAGGAATACTTTTCAAAATACACAGTTTTGTGTTAAAATTGCCAAGAATAATGAATATTAACGTCATTATTAATATAATGAGTAGTATAATTGAAGACCCAGCACATGGTTTTTGTTAAAATAACCTGTCTTGAAGACTTACTGTGGGGTGCTGTGAAGATGAGCATTAAATTACTACAAGGTACTTAGAAAACTTGGTAATGAGGCCTTGTGAATAATTAGATTTGAACAGAGGTGCAGCGTGATCCACTGCACTGCTGCACAGTGGCTCCAAAAGTCACTATTGCTGGTTAATAGCAACAGCAAATATTTACCATTAGCTGTTATTTTTACATTATAAACATGGAGTTTTTAATTAAAAAGTCCTTCCCATCTGCGCCTGATAAAATAGAAGCTTTTGTAATGGACATATTTGTTTTCCGAGGGGTATATTTAGTGTGTGTATACATCAGCAACCATCCCAAGAGACTGTCATGGTAATGGATCAAAACCAAGCTTTGCTGCAGCACGAGAACCTATAAAACCATGTGTTGCAACTCTGTTCAGATTAAGGAATTCATGCTGGTAGACTCAGTCATGGTCTGGCTGTACATCAATGACAGGAATTCCATAGCCTGTATTTTAAATTTTGCATACTAATTCCTTAGTAGCTTTTAAGCTCTAGTCATGCTTGCTAACAGATCTTTCACCTCAAATGCAGAAACATTTTTTCTTCTAAGTAGTAATGAAAATAAAGGCAAAAAAAATGAGTTTAGAGAGTGCCATCACAGTATTTTAGATTTGCAGCTGCTTATATAAGTTTCTTTCTTTCTTTCTTTCTTTTTATGAAAACAGGTAATCAGATCCTCTCTCTTGGGACTTTGTCAAAAGATCAGGTTTATCCGTTGAAACTCAAGGGCATTTCCATCTGTTACTCTGCACTCAAATCTGCCTTATGTGGAAATTATGTCAGCTTTGGCGTCTTCAAGTTGTACGGGGACAACCACTTTGACAGTGTACTTCAGGCCTTTGTCAAAATGCTGCTTTCAGTATCCCACAGTGACTTGCTAGTAAGCAATTACTCATCTTGGGAGTCTTTACGTGAAATATGAAATAATACCACCACAGGCTTTGTGTTGTTATAATGAGACAGAGGGATCTAGAACAGCTCAAATGTAGTTTTCAGTTCATTTACTTGTATTTATATAGCGATATCTAAAATATAGGTATGACTGAACTGCCGTGTGAAATGGGAGCTTTTCCAGAATTGTCACTAGGCTGGTCATAAAAGAGAGAAATGCGATTTTTTTCCCTTTCTATATTTGCAAACCCATTTGGGTTGCCTGTATGCACTGTAAAACATCCTCGTGTATCCAGCCACTCTGCAATTAGTTTCAATTTGTAAACTGTCACTGTATTTATTCCCCATAAAATGTAAGACTTTCATTTTAAAGTACACCATGTTCCCACTTCTCTGTGGGAAGACAGCAGATTTTGCGCAGTATCAGCCTGAGTTTGATCTGTGGTGCATTCTTCATGGCACTTTAGTTCAGAACTGTCATTTTCTTGCTGAAAGGAACAAATTTCGGATAGTTCAGGATGGGTTACACCCACATTTATGCTTGCCACGTAAAGAAAGTCCTTGGAACTGAAAAGTTGCTCTCCACTAAAATTGGGGTATCGATTGTATAGTGAAGTGTGCATATTTGCACATTCCTAACCACCCAACAATAAACACCCTGAGAGTACTTAAGAGTAAGGTGCTAATTGGGCCAGTGGGTTCAAGCAAGTGCCTTTGCCTGTGCAGAGCCTGTTACCGGACCTCACTTAAGCGCAAAAAAACGCCCATCTCTGAGATGTTGTGGGGGATCTGTGATAAATCCTGTCAGATCTCCTGCAGCAGGTAAGATACAGGCTGTAATCCTATCAAACTGACACCTGGCAGAATGCTATACTGCTTTTTCTAGACTGATAGCTGTGCAGAATGTCAAAGCATGGTGCCATTATTGTATTATCCTCAGCTTATTAAAACTAATAGCAAGTTTATATCCTATGGTAAATTTGAAAAGTGGAAATCTGAAGACAAGAGCATATCTTGTCTTTAAATATTCTCATTTAATGGCCAATTAGAAATTATCACATCATAAAAACTATAAGATCACTCTGCTGTCATCTGTTAATGTTGTTAATATCAATCAGTAGTAATCTCTATGCTTTCTATGAATGTGTACTCTTTTTTTCAGCAATATCGAAAATTAAGCCAGTCTTACTACCCACTTTTGGAGTGCCTGACCCAAGATCATATGAGTTTCATTACCAGCTTAGAACCTCACATCCTCGTCTATATTCTTACCTCAATATCTGAAGGACTGACTGCAGTAGGTAAGAATTACTTCCACTCAACTAAAGGAACAATTCAAGTACTTAGCTATCTGGGATTTTCAAAGCAGCACATTAATTTGTATTTCTTAAAAACGAATGTGAAGTGAGAGTGGAAGATGCTGGCTTTTGACTGTTTTAAGAATGTGACTCTTTTGGTTAGTGGAGCCAAGTTCTTTTAAACATGGAAAATGTAGGTTTTTGCAGAGAGTATTTTTAATAGTCTTGTCTTGCAAGCCAGGATTGTTAGAATTATTTATGTGCCTCCACTAGGACTGTACTGAAAATGTATGGAGTTGTTCAGAAGTAAAATACATTAATATGTGTACAGGAATCTGTGGAGTTTTGGTTTTATTTGATCAATGCAGCTGTTGTATAAATAATGCTTGTTTTGCACATCTGTGATACGATTTGAGAAATTGAAAGGTTTCCTCAGAAAAAAAGAAACTACTTATTCAGTCATTCCTGAGTATAGAATCATAGAATGGTTTGGGTTGGAAGGGACTTTAATATACTTTAGAGGAGAATCAGTGCAATGGTGGAGTAACAATAAAAAATCAGCAATTTGATTGGAGTTGATTTCATTCTCTGTCGTGATTTAACTTGGTTTTGAACCAGATGACTGTCCAAACATTTGGGGCTTGGGCAGAGGTGGACAGGTTGGTAGCCTGAAGTCATTTGGATTATGGAGAAGGAGAGTAAGCATTTGATGAGGAGAAAAAATAAATCATGCAGTTACATTCAGACCACCTAGGAATCATGCATTTATGTGATTTTTGACTGAGAAGCTGTTCAAAACCTTCCAGTCATATTTATTGATTGGGGTGGTTATTAAGGAAAAAAAAACAAGAACGGGTAATGCTAGTGTGTATAGATGTTATTCTGTAATAGCTGGTGTTTCTCATTACCACCAAGTGTCAGTCAAGCCCCATAGGAATGCGTGAATGCACCGAGACTCATGAAGCATTCACTATGTTAAACACATTCAGCAGTTTTTGCTGCAAGAGGGGAGCTGCTCTTGAAGAGAAAATGGGTAGTGAATAGCTAAGCAACAGTAGTAAAGAAGTATTCAGGTCATTGGGTTATAAAGTGCTGAAATCCATCTCCCAGATACTCTGAGGGCTGTCAGCTGCACCAGTGGTGCTGCAGGGAGTCTGCCTGTTGGTCCTTTGCAAGTGGGACATTGTACTGCACCTTAGCTCAGCCGATAGCTACCAGTTTAGCAAGCCCTGCTCATCTTCTGTTATCACCCCATGTAGCATCTCTTCCATTTGAGATATTAGTTATATTAATTTTGATAATTCACTAGCATACAGAATTCATTTTAACCTTCTGATGGAAACCCAGGTTGAATTCATGTAGAAGCTGTATAAGCTTCAACTTCCATGTGTTATGTTTGTTTTCCCCCCTCTCAAAAAGTGTTGGTCTCTCACTTAATGTAGGGAGGAGGCGTAAGAAAAGTATGTATTTCCAATTTTAGCTTTAAACTTCGGGGGTTTAGGTATGTGGGAGTTTAATCGTGGAAAACTATCAATTTCTAGGAACATAGACGTTTTCTTAGAAGACTTTTATTCTGAGAAATTCCTGATACTCTGCTGAGAAAAGTACCAACAAAAATTTTAACTTGCCTTTTTTTCACGTTTCATAAACTGTAGATTTGCTTAGCCACTGCTCCCCTTCAGTTCAACTTAATGTGCTTAAAGTACCTAAAATAAATACAAACATGCATGACTAAACCAAAATGTGTAGGAATTTGTAACTTCATCTGACTTCACTAAAGCCTTGATGCAGTCCATCAAAAGCTTCATGTATCAAGATACTGATGTCAGCCATTAAATTCCTCATTTGTGTTCAAGAAGGTTTGTTTTTGTAGGGAACTGAATCATTTTCCATACTTTTATAATGATGTGTCCAGGTGAGCTGCTCTTTGGTCAGTTTATAGCTCTTCATGTTAATTGATTTCTTTTTAGTCATCTCAAGAGTTATTTACCTGTCACTGCGTTTCTTTAAGAGTCATTCTTCTAAATGTTATATCCCTTTTAAAATTTTGGTATTTGGGACATTGCCAATTGTCAGGCAGTGAAACACAGATTTATTTCCTATGTGTTACTTGGTCACATCCATCCTCCTGCCCTTGGAAAATGGGTAAGTAGATCCAAGTGTTGCCTTTTTCACTGAATTATATCAGTGCCACCAGATCATCTCAGAATAGTAGGGCTCAGGGCTATAAGCCATCTGAGGGGAAATTGTGTTTTAAACTGATTAGAACATACAAGTCTTTTTCAGAAATGTTTATAAAAATGAAATCGCTGTCTTTTTATTTTAAAAATTAAATGCCAGGAGAAGCCTTCTCTCTCAGAGGAAAAAAAACCTATCTGACCTTTTTTCCTCTATTCCCTTTACGTACGTTAAACCTTTGAGACTTTCATTGTTGTCAGTTGAAGGATAAATATTCCCCAAATCCTTATTTCTGAGGGGTGTTCATTCTGTTGCTGAGTAAATACCTTGCTTGATTCCACTCTTTATAAACACTGTGAAAGAATACGTATTCCTTCTGAAGCGCCTGGCTGTAAATCACCTATAATGGAAGCCCTCTTCTGAGCTTTTATTGCGAGGATAAACACTCTTCTAAAGTGTTTACCTGGCTTTTTCACAGCTGACTCAGTGGATCAGAGCCTTTTAATGTAGTCAGCCTGGCATGTTGTCACTAATCTCTGCAAAGCTTTTCTAATTCTCACATGATTAATAGTATAGTATGCTATTCATTGAGGAAAAAGTAAAACATTTTTTCTGTCTTGCTGCCTAATTTAGATGTTAAATTGCTAAATCCATTTACTTTCCAGGTTTAGTCTCAAAGGCAAATAATGCCAGTATTGAACTGTAAGCAATTGATGGACAGGGAAAATACCACTTAACTCCCTCTCCTTGCCTTTATCTGAAAACCAAACCAAAATCTTTTAATTTGCGGAGATTCAACAATATCATTAAACTGTTGAAAAATAATTCCCTTTCAGAATAATCCTGTCATATTGCTGAGACTAAAAAACATCCTCAAGTTGTTTGAGGGTTTTGTTGGCTTTTTGAAAGTAATACAACCTATTCTAACATACATGATTGACTCTAAGTTACTTGAGCTGGTGGCTAATTGGAGTCACCTAAATAAGGTAAAAACACACAGATAGTAAAAACATGCATGTAAAGTTGCCCCCCAAAACATGAAATGAATGCATACTGGCAAAGAAGAAACAAAAAGAGGTAGTTGAAAGTGATGGTGACTGGTGCCAGAGGTGTCATCCTTTGCTACTCATCACCAACACCTACCTCGCCATCAAGTAAGGCCAGAGAGCTCAGTTTTGTTCCTCAAAACTATTGGACTGTTCTGGGTCCGTGCTGACACACGTGGAGCTAGTTTTGACATTTTCTGTAATCACAGCCAGCTTGCTCATGATCCATATGATTAGGTCAGAGGTGAGAGAGCTGAGCAGACCAGACGTGAGAAACGTGGTTTGACTGCATTTTTCCTGGTTACTCCAAGCTTTTATCTTAGTTTCTTTCATAATTCTATTGTTATTCTGTCTTCTCTACCCATTTCTTACACCCACAGCCCAGAATTGGTAGTTCCCTGTTGCTCTTGTTCTCTCTGGTTGGCTGGATTGTCTTGCTAAGATTTAGTGAGAATACTATTCTGCTCCAGCACAAGGTTCCACATGCCCAGAAGAGTCATTCAAGGGATGCGCTTGATGCTCCCTGTCTGTTACATCCTTGCAATCAAAAGGAAAAATGAGTATAGGGAAGCATATTTGATATATAGTTATGGGCAAATTTAAGTAGCTCTTAACACTCATATCAGATTCTCATGAGCGAATGATAGCGTAGACCTGTCTGCTGTCCTGCTAAAATCACTTACTGTCGAATGTAAAATATCTACTTGTACAGTATCAGCATGTTTAGAACTACTGCTGTTTTGTAAACTGATGATAGTGATTTACTTTGTATTATTCAATTTAAAAAGAAATAGAGTTAAGCACTGGTTTAGAAATACAGCAGAGCTCTCCTATGAAATATGTATTTTCAAATCTCTCACTTGTTGTTATTGATGGTGATTCAATTCCACCATGAATAGTATTTCTAGTTTATATGCAGGACTGTTTTGGTTGAGAGCACAATGAGTGCCAGGTTCTGCAGGCTTTACTTTGGCAAGACTCATAACTTTGAACTGAGCTTTGTTCCTGCAGTCTCTTAGCACCCTGCCCTGTTGAATTAGGCCCTGGGATGCTCACTGGTCCAGTGGGAGCAGAGTTGAGATGCTTCAGCTCATTTCTGTGAGCTGTTAGATCATTCTCTGCTCCTGCTGCTGAGTCAGCAGGTTGCTGTGGAAGATGGCAGTCTTAGGAGACCACTTGTATCTCCTTTGCCTGTAAATGTTTCTTCAGTGTTTACTTCAAAACACTCTTAGCAAAATAACAGTTAGTTTTTAGATGTCAGAGGGTTAATAGTGTCAGCACAGGGCTTAAGGAGTTAAACAGACACAGATCAAAATACTTCAGTGTCTGGAGGGATGTGTTTAAATGAACACTGCAAGGTTGGCAGGCCTCCAAATTAGCAGAGTTTAAAGAATTCAAGGTACATTTAATTGGATCCTTCTAATCCCTTTTCCCTCAGAATGAGCATTTTAACAGTTTAATTCGTTTTTCAGCCCCCACACATCCCTACTCCAGTGGCCCATCTAAAATAAATACTGTGAACTATAAAAGGCCTAGACACGTTCTAGCTGAAGTCAGTGGCAACAGGATGGACTCCTAAATGCCTCACTCATTTGAATCTGATGTTTGAAATGGCAGAGGGTATCGGCTGGGGCTAGACCTTGCACCCAGCAGGTTAAACCTCTGCGTGTCTAGAAGGAGCTGCCGTTGGCATTGGCATCCCAAGGAACCAGCAGTTTAAACCTATGGCTCTGGCCAGGATTGAGGAAGGGAGCTGGGAGCAGCAGGGCTGTCAGTGATGAAGTCACAGGCCCCCCAGACTTGGGTGCAAGGGGTATCTCAGGCAGCAGGTCAGGGGAAAGGGTGCACTGCTGGTCTGCAGATGAAGGGGAAGGTGAGTGAAGACCAAGGACCAGGACACAGTTACCATCATGCTGCTACACGAAGCGAGACGAATCCTCTTTCACAGCAGCAGCACAGCAGGCGACACCTACCAGCAAAATAACTTACATAAATCAGACAGACCTATTTACTCTGCAAATAGGTTTAAGCTTTTAATATCTCTTACTTATAGAAACAGTAAGCAAAGATGCGAAGTGGTTTTTGCTTCTGCCTTTCAATAGTATCTTCCTTCACTGTTACAACTTTCTGTTTCAGGGACATTATGAAGTATTTGGGTGGTGACTGTTGTGTCGTTGCTAGCTATATTAGATGTACTCTAACCTACTTGAATGATTAGTTCTTAAGCAAGATGACTAATTAGCTGTTGTGCGATCCCCCTTCACTATCTTTAATGGCCTTTTTTCACTGTTTGCCACCTGACGTTGATTGTAACCTGTTTGGGGCAGAGAAATCCTACTTGAGGAAAACCCAAAGAGTAGCTCCACTTGACTTAACCTCGCCTTTTCAGCAAGCAGGTCAAACCAGAATTCCAGAGTTACGGTTTCCAAGAATCCAAATGGGAAACTAAACACCAGTAAAACATCAACCCTCATCCTGCACTTCCCAGGACGCATTCATACGGTTGTGAATGAAGCTCACTGGAGTTCACAGGATCTTTGGTACATCGGGCTGCCCAGTTCCTCAAAAGCAAAGGTTTAATACCCCTGTGTGTTAATAAAAGCAATCTTCAAAACTAGTCAGTTCACGTGTAAAAATAGACTTGTTGATGTATCGATTAGCCTAATATCAGAGATTATTAAAGTTGAGCTCTACAAGCACTATAAAATGTCATTATTAATTATTCTTCTATGGAAACAATTTTAAAACTCTTTCATTCTTCACACAGATACAATTGTCTCCTCCAGCTGTTGTGCTAGTTTAGACTACATTGTCACCTACCTCTTCAAGCACCTTGCTAAAGAAGGCAAGAAGACTCGAAGAGGTAGAGAGATTTCACAGGATGGACAGAGATTGCTTCATTTCATGCAGCAGAACCCAGAAGTTCTACAGCAGGTGAATTAGTAGTCTTTTCTATGGGGTGTTACTATGTTTCTGAATTTTCCTGATGTTTGTGGCACTGAACATCAGGGAATTATTGGCTATTAGTAAGAGAACAAACCTTGCTATGCTGCTATGCAGCCCTGAGTGGCTTCTGCCGGGTTCTCATGACAACCAAAGATTGAAGGTATATTTTGTCATAGTGGAAAGCATAGGCACTGCATCTGCCTGTACAGTATCTTAAAACTTGGTGCTTCATTTTTGCCCGTAAGAACGGGTGTGTGAGATCATTGATACAGCTGTATAGACAAATCGGAAAGAAAGTTCTCTCAAGTATTTTAGGATAAAGAAGATCAAATTGTGGCATTGAACCACATACTTGGTGATGAAATGTGTCCATTGAATGGCTAAATGCTGTCATGTTTGAATATTTTATTTTCAGTAGGTGACTTAGTGGGATTTTTTCTGTTAAAGGTAAATACAATAGAAATTAGATCTTCTTCTGAAAAGGAAGTGGTGGCTGTACTGCTTAGGAGAGATTTTCCCTTCCCAGCTCCATCAGGCCTATCACAGCCCAAGTACATTCCGGGGAGATCACAGTGTTCGTGGCTACGTATGTCTGTACTCACTCTGTGCCACATTCCCTTAAAATCTCATTAAACTATCTGACAGTGCATACTTACAGGAGTCTCTGGATTCCTAATGCGGTTGCAAAGATGCCGTTTCAGGAGATGCATTTCACGGGTCTGGAGGCTTTTAACAAAACCAGAAGTTATTAACAAGGTGCAAATGACAAAAATGTGTTTCCCTAATAGGTACAGTGGTGTTTGCAAAAAGCCTGGCATGCAGTCACCGCTCTTATTGTTGTCATTTATCTACTGTTCTAATTGAAGGTGAAAAGTAACTAATGGTAGCTAATATGTTCCTGGCAGTATATAGCGTATTGTGAGATTAGTGATGTTTATTATAGACATCGTTATCAGGATCCAATAATTCCACTGTCATATTGCAGATTCTTATGTTTTACTTGCCTAATAGGGGTTTTGTGGAAACTAGCACTGAAGTCAGCGTTTGGGTGCGTCGGATTCCACAGTGTTGTACCATGCGTTCAGTGACTGGAACAGAAGGGACAGGACAGCGACGTGGCCTCTGGATTGCCCTGCTTTTGTGGCAGTCTCAGTGCAATACTTTGTCTGTTAATATGCAGTAATTTTTCACTTCACAGCAAATGACTGGGTGGTGATCTGTCTTTATTAACTTCAGATTCAGTGGAATACGTTACATTTATGTGAATGCAGGCTTTCACGTACTCTTTTAAATATTAATGGCTGGTCTCCAGTAGTCAGCATAAATATGATTTGCATTAGCACTAGTCATATCATATTGAGTGCCTCTGATGTCAACTACTCAGTGTACTAATATCTGACATCATCTCCCGAGGTCACTGACAACTTTGACCTTTATTCTCATGCACAGTTTCTGTAGTCTCAGAAGCTCTTTTGAATTGATTTGAAATTTTGACTCTTCCCTTTGTGAGGCAGTAAAATTGATAATTATTCAGATGGGAACTGAGCACTGAGTGAAAAATCAATTCCGCCCGCTCTCTGCTGCGTATAAAATTACTTGTGAGTCTGCCGGACTGAACGGATGGCCAAGGTAAAAGCAGCAGGCAGGAATAGTAGAGAGGATTAGCTGGACGAAACTAATAGCCTAAAGGGATGGCTTTTGAGATGAGGGAGTGGGCCGGTTGGGGGTTATTATCAGCAATGATGGGACTCATTGATCATATGTTTACATCAGGTTTCCATTGGGTTATAAATCAGCCCTGAATAGAAACGGAACCCAAGGCCTTGCGCTTTACCAGGGGGACAGCGTATTAGATTATTCTCACTTTCACACTCAGATGAAAAGTGAGACATTGATTATTCATCGGCTGGCCATTAAACACGGGTTTTATAGATGATTTGACTATCAGGGAGGCTAATGAACAAGGTTGCTGCTTCATAACCAGCAGTTTCAGTTTTCAAGACATCTGTGTCGGTTAAGTAATGCATAACCCTATTAAAAGGAATGGGTTACAAATTGCTTAACAGTGCTGAAAAACTAGACCCTAATGACTAATTGTGCTTTGAGTTTAGAGAGGTTTGTCAGCTCTTTAAACTAAACTGATGCAACGATAACTGCAATTATTTACTAGTTAGAACAGTTCTTCCAAGTTGGATCTCTGGAAGCCGCTGGGTAATTCAACTTCCTGGCGGTGCTCTAGGTTCTGCCCCTCAGCCTGCAGCGGCTCGGCATGCCCTCAGAATAAGCAGGAACCTCCCAGGGCTGCTCCTGGCCTGGCTCTGTTGGGCAGCAGGACCTGGGGAGTGGGGCAGGACCGCAGCGGGAGGTGTGTGGGGCACAGTGCAGCTCTCAGGGCAGAGCCACCTTCCCACTCCTGACTCACCTGTCTGGGATGTGAGGACATCGTGGCAACCTGTGCGCCTGCACGCCAGCATCTGAAATGGCACAGTGTGCTCACAGATGAGGCTGTTCAGCATCTCCATGCAGTCCAGTGCCTGAGGCTTCCACCTTCTTCAGCCTCTGCAGGAGCAGAGTTGTGTGATTAAACCCTATTAACCGTTCCTCAATTTGCTTAGATATGCCCTAGGTTGATGTGACTGTGCAGAGACAGGAGCAATAGAAAATATAGCCATGATACACCTTCCTCAGTTCCAGAGCAAGCTGTGACATCCTTCCGTGATGTAGCACTGGCTGTTGTCAGCTTTGGCCAAGCTTTTTGCTTGTTCCCCTGGGCAAACAGCTTAGTCTGAGCTCAACCTGCAAACAACAGCTCCATGATGGCATCTTACAACCAAACTGAATTAACAGTACAAAGTAATTTGGGAGATATGGATAGAAAGTGGTATTAGGTTTACTACATTCAGCTGTTGCATTATGTTGTTTTATAAGCACTATAAAGGCTCCTTTTCTGTGCTGTTATGCTGGGATTGACAGGTGAAGCTGGCTTTTTATCCAGTTTATAAATGAAAGTGTAAATGTTGGTTTTAAGATGCCACCTTTACCTTCTGTTAATGCTTACCTTGCTGAATTGTACACTTTAGTTAGTTAAACTTATTGGTTCAGTTTTGATACAGCAAAGTACTATTCATGTTATTTCTTTCCAAAAATCAGTCAGTTTTGTAGTGTCTTTTTTCATCTGCAGTTCAGACAAACATTCCCAAGAGCCAGGCACAATAGGTAAAGAATCCTGCATAGCCATTGCTGAAATAATTCTGTGCTGGATATGGAAGGGGATTGAAGGTTGATTGAGTGAAAACAGGATCTCCATGACGTTTCAGGTTCAATTCCTTTCCTGGGCAGGTCACGAGAGTGTGAGGTATAAGGGTAACAAGAGAGGGAAGGTGTTGCATGGTGGTTACATTCTGTACATTGTTTCCAGGAGGATGGTGTGGGTAAAAATAAGGAGGGAGTTTGGTGAGTTTGAACATTGTACTGATGATCCACACGATGCCAGTGACAAGACACAGCTTGCAGCCCAAGCGTGGACCTCCTTCAGGCCAGTGGGTCCCTTCTAAGGGTCCAGCATTTCTGGAGGTGATGGGTGAGGAGTTCTGCAGTAGGGGGACAGTGGCAGGGATGTGGGAACTCACAGTGTGGTGAGGTGCTGGCACAGGGTGCCCAGAGAAGCTGTGCCTGCCCCATCCCTGGCAGTGTTCAAGGCCAGGTTGGACACAGGGGCTTGGAGCAAGCTGCTCTAGTGGAAGGTGTCCCTGCCCGAGGCAGGGGTTGGAACTGGAATTTAGGTTCCCTTCCAACACAAACCAGTCTGGGATTCTGTGGGGCGCTGCTGTTTATTGCTGTAGGGAGATGTGGTAGAGTACATGGGCTGGAGAGGGATCTCTGGGAAAGGAGTGTAGATGGGAAAGTATCTGCATAAACAAAGGGCTCAGAGGGCATGCGTCATGGTAAGCGTGGTAGTGCTGGAAAAGGGAGCAAGGGTGGAGTGGGCAGACCACCAGGAACAGGAGGATGTGTGCTTTAACGGTAACAGGTAAAACCTCACCAGGCTCCTTGTTGGAGCTGAGCATTTGTGACCTGGAACATCACCACATAACAAAGATGCATGAAATGAAGCAGCCCAGCAGCTCTGCGCAGCAGCTGTAAAACAGAAAGTAAAGGTGCCAGCTGCAGTGAAAAATCAAGTGGCATTACTAAAATAAAAACGTATTGTAAACCACAACTTTCCTCTTTTTTCCCCTCTTTTATGTAGTAAAATCAGTGGTTTGTTTTTCAGATAAACCTCAATGGCATATACAGCTAGTCTGGAGGTCTGTGCAGTAACTGAAATGAAAACCTGAAGAGGAGACGTGTTTATGATGCATGCTTCATGGCCTGTGCACAGGCACTTGCATGTGAGCACATCACAGAAAGAAATCTGAATTGTACTGACAGAGGGCAGTTGTGCCAGAGGCTGAGCACCTTGAGGCATGTGTGTGAGCATATGCTGAATATTAAGAGCAGATCAACCCCACAGGTGCGATTGTTCCTATACTTAAAATGAAATGTGTTTAAAGGCTGAGCTGAATCAGGACCAGAGCGCTCAGCTTTTGCCAGCTTGAGCCTTGGAAGGTTGGATACAGCAGTGAGAGGGATTTTCACTGGGACATCTGTTTGCAGCCTCTTAGCACAATTTAAAGATGTTATCCAATACTATCATAACTTTCTTTATTAATTGAAAGGAAGGGAGCTATACCAGCTGTAGCCCAAGCCAGCAGAGACTTGGGTGGCTAAGCAACAGAAAAGGCACCATATTGAGTGAGCCAAAATTCAGTCTCAAAGTCATTTATTTTAACCAGCGACAATGCGTTTGGACTCTAGTGTTTCAATTTGATTGATGGTTTAATATCATATATAATTTTTTTAATGAAGGGAACCCATTTAAATGTGTTAACATTTGCACTAGTAGTCTCGCATGTACATAACTGCATTTAATCATTACTCTGATTGTT